CACACTATGATTAAGAATATTGAAAAAATAGCTAGCAAACTCTGCCACAGTCCCCCAAACAATGCTTCAAGCCCATTCTCTCTCCTTAAGTTCCATCCCTTCAGCTGCTCTTGTAGATGGTCCACCATCATCTCACATTCAGTGTTCCTGACGCTAAACTCATCTTTCCCCCTGATTTCTTTCCAGCATAAACTTTATCAGTTTTCTGGTATCTCTCAGTTTTCCGCTCCCACCAAGTAGAACCTCAAAGTACATGTTGAACACCTGAATTCTATTAGTGGCCGCCGTATTTCTTGCCTTTCTTTGCACTGTCTCTCAAATCCAGCCCATCCTTTCCACTCCCATTGTCATCCCCATGTCCACGCCCAGGTGGCTCTAGTAGCCTCCTAAATGGGCTAATTTCCCCAGCATAGCATCGCCTTCCTCTTATGCTTCCAACACATCATTACTCCATTACAAAAGCTCTAAGATTTTATTTTAATCTTCATCTCCAAAAGTTTTAACCCCTCTGCCTGTGATGTGGACTGCGAACTCAAGGCTGTCTCACATCTGAAACAAAGTTGTATCTCCAGCTTCTTCTCTCTTTACTTCGTTATGCAAATCTACACTCATCACCTGCTTCTAAAGTTTTATTCAGGACCTGATGCACCCTTCCTCACCCTTTATCTCCCTCTGCATCTTCTTTGTTCTTCAAGATCCTCCCCAAATTCTACTTTCTCTGAGAAATTTTTTTCTAACCACAATAGCTCAAAGCAATCTTTCCCTTTTTGAATTTTTACTGAAGTTACAGTCTCTCCTATTCACTTGAATTTCTCATGTATTACCTCATATCATGAAGGAGAGTTATGAGTATGTGTCATAGTTCCCCAACCAGGTATTAAATTCCCCCAAAAAAGGTAGAGAACCTGTCTTTGTTGTAGACTAACACAGCACATCTCATAGTAAGTCCTCAAGGCAGTTTTGTGCTGCAAGTTCTCTCTGAAACTGGGTTTTGTTGAGGTTCCCTCCAGTGATAATATAATGTTCAAGTTCCTTTAGCAACTGGAAAATTAAGTATTGGAGTCAACAAATATAGAGATTCTTTTTTTTAATACTTGAAGTCTTTTAAGTACAGAATAAATTCTATCAAGAATACTTAAAATTGTCCCTCCAGACTTTACTTGAATTAGTCATTTAAAATGGCTCTTTCAAGGTGCTCCAGTATGGTTTGGCATCACCAAGGCCATCATAAGGATGGTTTAGGGAAGCCCCAAAGGGGATATACCAATTGGTAAGATGATGATCATTATCAACCCCAGAAATAACGAACATTTATTTTTCCCTGATGGTTAACGGACCACTTCTACTCATACAACATCATTTGCTGCTGGCTGCGTAGACAGGGCAGATAGAGTTCTTAGTTCCATTCCGTGTCTGTAGAAACCAGGCTCAGAAAGGTTTTGTGACTTTAGTAAGGTCATCCAGATCATAAGTAGAAACACCGACACCTACATCTCTGCCTCCCTGTCCTACTGCATGCTAGGGTTTTACCACCGCCTCTCAGAGCTCAGCTGGGGGGTTTCAGGGCGACAGACTCTGCCTGTACAAACCCTTTGCCTTTGCCAGCAAGCACAGTACCAGCAGCACACAGCAGGACTTCCCCTAGCTTTGCTGCCTGACTGCCCTTTGATATCTCACTTCCTGAAAGTCTTGTGATGGGGGATGGATCTTAAAAACTGCACCACATACCAATCGTTTGCGGCCGCTTAACTACCCTAATATTAAGGTCTCCGCCTTAGCAAACTACCAACACATTTCCTGTGGGGTTTGGTGAGAGAACCCACCAGAATTGTGAGTCTATGGAAACTACATCCTAACCAACTCCACACCCCTAATAGGAACCCAAATAATATGAAGAGGCAATTAAGTGCTAGAGCCTGACTTCAAAAATGCCTTGAGACATGGGAGATCTGGGACCAGGAATGGTTACATGGTCAGCAAAACCCCAAGCAAAATGAAAATGGGGGCTCCTTTTTCATATAGTATGAAGGATTTCAGGGTACCCTGCAGCACTGAAGCCAGTCCAGACTCCTTGGGTGTTCAAGGCTCTGTGTGACTACACAGACCACATGCCCAGGCCTGGGTCATCTGGGTGCCTCCTACAGAAATCATCGGCCCAGGAAAATAGCTTATCTGGGCGAATTAATGTTCCAGGATGTTGGCGAACTATGACTCCTCCCACCAAAGGCAGCCTAAGGCCCTTTCTGACCCCCAAGGACGCTCCTATCTTCCTTTGTTTGTTGTTGTTGTTTGTTTATATCAGGGGAAATTTGCAAATGTATACACACCTATCTTACTCTCTGGGCTGGGAACTTCCCAAGGTCACACTGATGTCCAGTTTATCCCTGTGTTGCCAACACAGCATCTGCCAGGTAGTTGGCAATTCATATTTGTAGATAAGGGCCCCCATTTTCCCCTCCCCATCCCTCCCCACCCCCAAGGCCCCTTTACTGTATATCTCTTGGTCTTAGCCTGCCCCAACTAAGTCATCAGGTCTCACCTGAGATATTCCCCCCGAGGGGAAATCTTTGTTGGTCTGAAAAGAAAGAAGTTTTCATCTACAGGCCCTGGGGCTCTGTCAGGAGTTGCTGAAGGGCAAGGTAGCCGTGGTGAGATGGCACCGTCAGATTAAAAATTCCCTTTGTTTTTGTGACACTTCAAAGTGACTTGTATTCTCAAAGGCCCTTATTGTGCCCTCTGTATGCCAAATCCTGGATAAACGTAAGCCCGAATCTAATTCTGTGGAAAACTGGTCTTCAGAGCATCCATGCAGCCAGTACGTGCCACAACAGGCCCACGAGTTGTTACGGCTGACGCCCTTTCTGACAGCTCTGTCCATGTCATTCAGGCTGTAAAATACTTTGAAATGTTGCCCATGCTGGCCTCAAACACTTCTTCTCACTAAGGACAACTCAGGGAGAATTACAGGATAGTGAACAAAAGCAGGAGGAAGAGCAGAAAAATAACACTGGGTAATTAAATGCCTCTCAGTTTGCAAACTACGTATTAATTCATTTCATCTTCACAAGGTGATAGAAGAGAGAAGGAAAAAATAAGCTCTTTGTTTCCCCCCCATGTTACCCTTTAAAAATACTCATCCTTCAGCATTCACTCGGAAATGTTCCCTGGATTTCCAGAGCCGATCAAGTCCCCTGGCTGTTCTCTTGAGGCGCCATGATACTTTCATATTTTATCTCCATCCATTTGTGTTGTGGTCATCTGATCAACACTGATATCTTCCCTTAACTGTAAATTCCAGAAAGCAGGAACCATAGCTGTTTTTATGCATCACTGTAACCCCCAGCTCCTTGTATCTTGTTTAAAAGTATAGATGCTCAAAAAACATTTATGTTATAAATTAAATTAATAAATACCCACCATAGTATCTGTGCCAAGACTGATCCTGAATAAATATATACATTTATCCATAAATCAGTGAATGAATAAATGAACTTAAATGAACTTTGCTGACTTCAGAAGTTGTTTCTAGAGAGACTAGGAAACATATGGTTGAATTCCATTTATTAATTCATTCTACAAATGTTCATTAAGCCCTCTCTATATGTCAGGCACTCTTCTAGAATCTGGAGAAATAGAAGTAAACAGAAAAGACTTCCCCCAAATCACTAACTTGAGGACTATTTTCTCCAGAATCTCCAAAGCTTTCTCTTCCTAAATTTCCCAGAAAGAGAATCAAAGATGTAATTTGCTTTTTTGCAAAGATCACAGTAAAAGAAAAAGCAATCACCCAAGCATTCATCAGCCCAGATGTTCCCGGGTCTTGTTCCAGTCCTTCCACCACTTGGCAATATGACATTAGGAAAGAAACACGGCTAATAGCGTAGACCTCGTGAAGGCCGTGGCCTTCACTTCTCAAATGCCTTCCCTCATCCAACGTCTATAAATCTAGGTAAACAAGTTTTTAATAAAATGGATCACTAGAAATTAACTCAGAAACTTAGTTTTGAACAAGATTCCTTTGGAACTCTGGTCCCAAACCTCCAGTCCATGGTCTGGTAGGAAATGGGCCACCAAGTAGGAGGTGAGCAGCAGGCAAGCTAGTGAAGCTTCATCTGTATTTGCAGCCACTCTTCATCGCCTGCATCGCTGTCTGAGTTCCTCCTCTGGTCGGAGAAGCAGCAGCAGTAGATTCCCACAGAAGCACAACCCCTGCTGTAAACTGCACGTGTGAGGGGACCCGGCTGCACTTCTTATGAGAATCTAAGGCCTAATGATCTGAGGCAGAGCTGAGGCAGGGATGCTCGTGCTGGGGAATGGCTACAAAGCCAGATTATCATTAGCAGAGAGGTTTGACTGCACAGAGACCATGATAAATCTGACAAATCGAATAAATCTATTGCTTGCAGCCTCATATCAAAACCACTGCTTTTATATGAAAGCTATAACCTAATAACAACCTAAGGATATGGGGGGGGAGGGAGGGGGGAGAGGAGGGAGGGAAAGGGATTCGAGGGTTCACTCCTGTGGTTCATCTTGCAAGGGTACAAGTGAATCTTTCTATGAGTAGAATATGAATGTTTTGACATAATAACTAAGAAAGTTACATGAAGGCTATGTTAACCAGTTTGATGGAAGTGTCTTGGATTGTCTATGAAAACACCACACTGTACCCCCAAAGTGCATCAATGTACACAGTTACCATTCAATAAAAAAAAAAAAAAAAAAAAAAAACCACTGCTACCCAATCCATGGAAAAATTGTCTTCCATGAAATTGGTCCCTAGCACTAAAATCTTCAGAACCACTGCTTTAAAAAATTTAGTTATCATTAAATTTATATTTAATATTAAATATACTTAGATATGCAAAAAAAATGTATTCTTAAGTAAGTAGATGAGCTGCACCTATAGCAGCTCCTCAGGGAGATCCGAGACTGGAAAAACAAGCAACTCTAAAAGGTGCAACAGAAAGATGACAACAGTTTTCTATTTGTGTCCACAGGGCTGGAAGCAGCTAGCAGAGATGCAGACTCCCTCACTGTGAATGGGATTCTGGGGGAGTCAGTCATTTTCCCCTTAAATATCCAAGAATCGCAGCAAGTTGCCACCATTGCTTGGAATTCTGAAACATCTGTTGCTGTAGTAATACCTGGAGACTCAGGAACAGCACCCAAAGTTACTGTGACTCACAAAAATTATTATGAACGAATACACACCTTAGCTCAGAGCTACGACCTGGTCATTAGCAGTCTGAGGATGGAAGACGCAGGAGTCTATAAAGCAGACATAAATATAAAAAACCATCCTTACACCATCACCAAGAGCTACAACCTGCAAGTCTATGGTAAGTCGTGGGAGGACAAAGGGCTTGTTTTTTATTTTCACTTTGCAAATTTGGTATGTAAAGAATACCTATATTTCTGATCATTGGATTCCCTAAATCTTTTTATACTTATAAATTCTCCCATAAATACATCAGTACTTATCATACAAACAGAATATACACTTACTTTAGTCCTGGCTTTGCCATTTTTTGCAGTTTGTCTCCTAGGCCTTGTTTTTCTTTTTTATAAAATGTCAATAATCATATCACTCACTTCCCAGAGTTATTGTGAAAAATCAAGTGAGATAATGTATGCACAGTGGTTTTTTTTAAAGTTCTATTTTGAAATAATTATGAAAAAAGAAGTAATTATGGATGTATACAGGGAGGTTCTGTTTATAACTACAGCACCGTATCAAAACCAGGAAATTGACATTGGTACAATCTATAGAACATATTTAGATTTCATCAGATACACATGCACTTATTTATGAATCTGTACAATGTAATCACATATGTAGCTTTGTGTGGTCACCACCAGCATCAAGACAGTTAACTGTACCATCACGAGGGTCCTTCATGCTGTCCCTTCATAGCAACAACCATTACCTCCCTCTTCTCCCTCCCTAACTCCTGGGAACCACTAATTTGTTCATATCTATGTCATTTCATAAATGTCATTCAGATAGAATCATGAAGTATGTATTCTTTTCAGATTTTTTTCCCATTGTGCATAATTTCTGAGGTATGGTACTCTAACTTTTTGTTGCTGATAGTATTCCGTGGTATGGATGTACTAGTTTATTTACTATTCACCTATGGAGGGACATTTTAGTTGTTTCCAGTTTGGAGCCATTCCAAATAAAGCTGCTATGAATATTTCTGTACAAGTTTTTGCATGAAATAAGTTGTCATTTATCTGAGATAAATGCTCAAGAGTTAAGGTAAGTCCACTTTTAGTTTTAAAGGAAGTTGACAAACTGTTTTCCACTTTACATTCCCACCAGGAATGTATGAGTGATGCAGTTTCTCCACATCCTCACCAGCATTTGGTGTTATCATTATTTTTCATTTTGGCCATCTGGTGTGTATGTAGCATATTTCATTTTAGTTCTAATTTGAATTTCTCTAGTAGCTGATACAAAATGCTTTTTAAAGGTAAAATACAAGAGCAATTTGTTATCATCATTATAACTGCCACAGTTCATGGGGAGATGTGTGTGATTTGCTACAACAATGCTATCAAAGTATGGTCCATGGACTGGCAGTATCAACATTACCTGGGAGCTTTTCATTTTTTTTTTATTTTTTTTTTTTAGAGACAGAGTCTCATTTTTTGTTACCCTCGGTAAAGTGCTGTGGTGTCACAGCTCACAGCAACCTCCAGCTCTTGGGCTTAGGCGATTCTCTTGCCTCAACCTCCTGAGGGGCTGGGACTATAGGCCCCTGCCACAACACCCAGCTATTTTTTGTTGCAGTTTGGCTGAGGCCGGGTTCAAACCCACCACCCTCGGTATATGGGGCTGGTGCCCTACTCACTGAGCCACAGGTGCTGCCCTCCTGGGAGCTTTTGAGAAATGCAAATTCTCAGGCCCTGCCTGCCCAACCTTTGGGTGGAATGAAGCAAAGAAATCTGTGTTTAAGCTGTTGCAAACCAATGAGGGAGCAGAGACAGGGACATGTGAGAACAAACCATCCTTGACTCCCCTCATGGGTATGTGACTTTATATTCTCTCTGGATTGTTCCCATGTATGCCAAAGTTAGAGAAGCAGTGATCTACAACTTCCCTGTCTAATGTGGTAGCCACTAGCCACATGTGGCTCTAGAGCATCTGAAATGTGGTCAGTCCAATCCAAGACATGGTACAAGTGTAAAATCCATACCAGATTTTGAAGTCTTGGCACCAAAAAATAGAATATAAAATATCTCAATAAGTTGTGTATAGGGGAGAGGTTGAAATGAAATTTTAGATATATTGGGTTAAATAAAATGCTTTATGAAAATTAATATTACCTGTTAAGTTTTACTTTTTAAACCATGATTATTAGAAAATTTTCAGTGACATAAGTGACACACATTACATTTCTGTTGGGCAGCACTAGTTTCTAGCATAAAGAACGTTTGGGCTAATGCTCAAGGATTTCACTGTCCACCTGGCTCACAGTAGAAAAAGACAGAAATGTGACTAATCCATAGTGTAATAGATACAATTCAGGTATATAGTTCACCAATTACTATGCAAGTTCCATAAAGACATACATTGTAAGTCAAGTTTAATGGTATAACCCCAGCACCTGTATCTCCAGGCACATAGTGGCTGCCCAGAAGTATTTGTTGAATAAAAAAAAGAATGCATCTTAGTATTCCCTGGTTCCACGGTGCCTGACAACTGTAGGTGCTCAATTAATAGAAGGTAATTGAATCAGGTTGTGTCTGGATAAAAGGCGTAGTGGAAAGAGCACACGTGTTGGAATCAGGACAATGTTGCCAGCAGCTATGTTAACCTTTCTGATCCCAAGTTTCCTCACCTATAGAATGTGTATTATAACAGGAAGGATGAAATAAGATGTTAGTTTAGCCCCTAGTGTAATGTATGCCTTAAAGTAAAAGTTCAATAACTAGCAGTCATTATTTATTTTTTTAATTTTTACCCTTTTTAAAAATTCTAATTATAAAGAACTTCCTAGAGCAGCGGTTCTCAACTTGTGGGTCGCAACCCACAGGAACTGTATTAGAGGGCCGCGGCATTAGGAAGGTTGAGAACCACGTCCTAGAGGAAAAAGACTCAGAATTGGGCTTGAATTATGTAGTCGTTAAAGAACAATATCCAAATGTGGATGCTTTAGAAAATACTTGAGTCGTTCAGGAACTTTGGCCAAGAAAATAAAAAGGATATTAAATTTTTAAAAGTTTATTTTCATCCCTTTTTATGTTGAGTTTTGCCTACCCAATCTGCAGGTGTCATACCACTGCAATTAGGGCAGACGACAGTGAAGTTTTAACAGAAAGCAATATTGTACATAAAATGAAATCTGTACATTATGGATAGTTAGCTGAAACATAAAGAGAAAGAAATTGACATTTATTAGATACTATCAATGTGTCCAGCATTCTACTAGCTAATTTATATATTTCATAATAATATAATTATTATAAATTATATCTATTTAAGCAATATGTGCATAAACACAGCAAAAGATAGTGCAGTGAAATATAACTCTCAGAGGCAGTGGCTATTGCCAGCTTATTTTGTCTCTTCTATAGACAATTAATGTACATATAAGCATAGATAGATAATAGATACACAGACAAATTTATATTAGAATGATCTTTTCATATAACACCTCATTTAATCCTATCAGAAGGAAATTGTTATCCTGGTGTCATAAATGAGGGATCTGAAGCTCTCACCACGGTACACAGGGAGTAGTGGGGCAGTGACGCAGACATTCTTGTAAACCAAATTTCTAAAGAAATGTATACACACACACAATCTGGCTCAGTTTTCACTAATTCATATTTGTATTGATCATTGTTATAGCTAATCAAGGTCTTTCATCCAAACTCGTTTAGAAGGTTGGTGCCAAGTCATCACTAGTTCTCATCTGGAATAGAGGCCTCTAAGACAGCAGTTCTCAACGTGTGGGTCGCAGCCCACAGGAACTGTATTAAAGGATTGCAGCATTAAGAAGGTTGAGAACCACTGCTCTAAGATATTGCAAAGCCTGAAATCAGAAATCGTTATAGCTTCTTTTTTTTTCTTTTTTTTTTGAGACAGAGTCTTACTATGTCACCCTCGGTAGAGTGCTGTGGCATCACAGCTCACAGCAACCTCCAACTCTTGGGCTTAAGTGATTCTCTTAAAACACTACACTGTACCCCATGTTTGCATTAATGTATACAGCTATCATTTAGTTAAAAAAAAAAAAATGTGATTCTCTTGCCTCAGCCTCCTGAGTAGCTGGGACTACAGGCGCCTACCACAACGCCCAGCTATTTTTATGTTGCAGTTATTTAGTTGGCCTGGGCCGGGTTCAAACCTGCCACCTTCAGCATATGTGGCTGGCGCGGTAACCACTGTGCTGCAGGTGCCGAGCTTTTTTTTTTTTTAAATACATTGTTTGTTTTATTTTGGTTGCACTTGTCATTGTTGTTTTACCTGACCTGGGCTGGGCTCAAACCCGCCAGCTTCATTGTATGTGGCTGATGCCCTACTCACTGAGCTATGGGCGCTGAGCCAGAAATCTTTATAGCTTCTTAATGTTCATATTCATATTTTACTTCACACAAGCACAAACTAATAATTCTGGTATTGACACTGCTGAATGTTTTTGCCTTTCTAGGCTCCATATTAATTAGAAAGTTACTTGACAGTTTCCCCTTGTTTTTTTTAGACAGAGTCTCACTCTATTGCTTAGACTTGAGTGCCGTGGAGTCAGCCTAGCTCACAGCAACCTCAAACTCCTGGGCTCAAGAGATTCTCCCGCCTCAGCCTCCTAAGCAGCTGAGACTACAGGTGCCTGCCACAACTCCCAGCTGGTTTTCTATTTTTAGTCGGGGTCTCACTCTTGCTGAGGCTGATCTCAAACTCCTGAACTCAAGCAATCCACCCATCTCAGCCTCCCAGAGTGCTAGGATTACAGATGTGAGCTATGACACTAGGCCTGCCAGTTCCTTCTGACTTCCCTACTTCTTCGTACCAATGGCTACAGAGGAAGAGCAAACTCTACCCCAGCAGCTTTGCCTAGACTGCACCAAACTTATCTGAATGTGGTCACTTTCTTATTTCCTGGTTTAAAAAAACAAAAAAGAACTTTCCCTTCCTTCTGCCAGCTCCAGATATAGCTGGAACATAAATATTATAATCGCCCTTTAGTAACCCTTTAATAGCCTACAACTTTGACAGTTTACCTTTTGATTGTTCTAGTGATAACATTTTTAATGGATGTTTAAAGATATTATAGCTTGTCACCATGGATATTTTAAAACAAAACAAAACAAAAAACTAAAAAAAAAACACACATACACTAGAAAACAGAACCAAAATTGTTTCTAAAAGATTGTTTCATGTGGTGGTATGCTGATAAATGTTCGACGAGCTCTTGATGCAGGGGGAGGGGTGTGCATATGTTTATCTATAATTTGTATTTAGTATAAAACTTATTGACATGAAGGGTGTGTAGCACACAGATTAATGGTAATAAAATATATGATAGCCTTCCTTATAAATTACATATAGGCAATTATTCTCACAGAATGCTTTCATTGATTTTTACGGAACATTTAGATCCCTAACCAACCTATCGTTGCAACTGATGATTGAGTGTAGTTCCAACATGAACGCTGGTTGATATTTTCATTTAAGTTAAGTAATCAGAAAAAAATGATTAAACGAAGACACAGATATTGAAGCATCACTTGTCCATCAATCACGTGAGCAGCTTCTTTGCTGAACTAGATAATGGTTATCAAGCACTAGAAGAATATATCCTAATTTTTTATACTATTCATGATGCAAGATCTACAGATATGATACACTTTGAAGTTTAATCTGCACTAGTGTCTTTTACTACATTCCTATTTTAGTCCTGAGCAATAATCAACGAAACAGTAAATCAAGCCAAGTTTAGACCATTTGCCAATTTCTGTGGGGTAAATGCTCCCACTGTGGCTGATTTTAAGACATGTTGGAGGCCGGGCTGGGTGGCTCATGCCTGTAATCCTAGCACTCTGGGAGGCTCAGGCAGGTGAATTGCCTGAGTTCAGAAGTTTGAGACCAGCCTAAGCCAGAGCGAGACCTCATCTCTACTAAAATTAGAAAAACTAGCCAGGTATTGTAGTGAGTGCCTGTAGTCCCACATACTTGGGAGGCTGAGGCAAGGGAATCATGTGAGACCAAGAGTTTGAGGTTGCTGTTGGCTGTGACACCATGGAACAACAATAAAAAAAAAAGATATGTTGGACATACATGTCCGCTTGTACATTGTTACAAAGGATAGATATAACCGATGGAAATAACTTAAGGAGCATAGGTGATAGTTAAATGTCAAAAAATAATTAGATGCCAAGCACAGTGGCACACCACTATAGTACCAGCTACTCAAGAGGCTGAGACACAATCACTTGAGGCCAGGAGTTTAAGGCCAGCCTGGACAACACAGCATGATCCTCTCTCTAAAAAAATAAACATAATAAAATAAAGTGAATAATCCAATGATTAGAACATGTTGAGTTTTGAGCATTGATTACCTCTGTTTTTAATGTAATGTATTGAACTGTAAGCTGTATACTTTAATGACGTCTCTGTTTAACCACAACTTGCAACATTTCTGAATACTGAGCAACTGGCTTTCTTTTTTTTTTTTTTTTTTTTTTTGAGACAGAGCCTCAAGCTGTCCCCCTGGGTAGAGTGCCATGGCATTACAGCTAATAGCAACCTCCAACTCCTGGACTCAAGCGAGTCTCCTGCCTCCGCCTCCCAAGTAGCTGGGACCACAGGCGCCCACCACAACGCCCGGCTATTTTTTGGTTGCAGCCGTCATTGTTGTTTGGCGGGTCCGGGCTGGGGATTCGAACCTGCCACCTTAGGTGTATGTGGCTGGCGCCTTAGCCGGTTGAGCTATAGGCGCCGAGCCGCAACTGGCTTTCTAAAACTAGCACAAGCCAGCTGCAGCTCATCACTGGCTTGTGTGCTTTCCCCTCACAGGTCGGCTTAGGAAACCGAAAATTACACAGAGTTTAATGACATCTGTGAACAGCACCTGTAATGTCACACTGACATGCTCTGTGGAGAAAGAAGAAAAGAACGTGACATACAGTTGGAGTCCCCTAGGAAAAGAGGGTCCTGTCCTGCAAATCTTCCAGACCCCTGGGGACCATGAGCTGACTTACACGTGCACAGCCTGGAACCCTGTCAGCAACAGTTCTGACTCCATCTCTGCCCAGCAGCTCTGCGCAGGTAACCGGCTCTGACCTGTGCTCCTGGGAGCTCCGAAACCATACTGAAGAGCTGCAAGGCCTGCCTGTGGGCCTTATTCTCTAGGACAATGTGCCTCCTTTATGCTGGGCCTGCTCCCTGGCGACAGCCCCTCCCAGGAAGCCCACTGGGAAAGATTCAGAGCCTCTGGGAGATGCTGAGCATCTCAGGGGGTTCTGTGGCAGCTTCCGCTCAACTCTCCCATTTAGTTTTTAACCCTGACTTTTAATAGCAGAAAGTTCAATTCCCCTAGAAGGTTGGCAGTCCCTTGGAAATCACCTAACTGTGATAATCCCCCTGGCTGTAGACAAGCCTCCCCAGCCTCCTGGGCTTGTTCCCTGAGAGTCCTGACTCACTGTGTCTTCTACTTCCAGACGTCACGAAGGGCTTCCGTGCTCACCGGACCAAGTTCCTTAGTGTGCTGGTGGGGTTATTCCTGATTGTTCTCGTTCTGTCTTCAGTGTTTGGGGTCCATTTGTGCAAGAGAAAACAAGGTAGGATTTTCCCAGAAGGCAAATCCTCTTTCTTCCTCCCTGGAACTGAAGTCATTAATCCATGGTGTTGTGAAGAGTCCTACCGTCTTCATCCCGTCACCTTACCCCCTCCCAGAATGGTGGTCCTGAGCACTGCATGACATTGCCCTGAATGGTCCTCAGGATCTGTTCCTGACATCACCAGCATTTGGGGGACCCAGAACTTGGGGAGTTTAGTATTGCCATTAATAAGCTGTGCATCACTGGACAAGTGTGCTCACCTCTCTGGCTCAGTGTCCTCACATGTAAAATGTTCACTCTTGAGAGTCTCCGGGGTCATTTCCAATTTTATCACGTTTTGATAATGACCTTGGGAGAGTCACTGAGGGACATGTACTAATTTTGAGTCCTTTATTTGTCCCTAAACCTCTCAGAATCCCTCTGATTTTTCTGTAATTGTAACATTCTCAATTCAGAAAACCTGATCTTAGACCCCAAAGGAGTTTTTATGTCCTCCTGTTCTCCCTCACCCCTATCCCCTCCCCCACATCTTCTTTTTCCCTTGGAGCCTCTGCTCCGGTGTTCCTGATACTCCTTTGGGTCTGAGTCCTCAGGTCTCAGGTTTCTTGAAGAGCTTCACTAACAGCGCTGTAAGTTCTCAGCCACAAGGTTCCCTGAATAATAACAGGAGGAGTGGAGAGTTCATAGCAGTGGTTAAGACTAAGCATGTACTGTGTTTTTATTTTTTAATTTTCTTTTTTAAATTGTATTTATTTATTTTTTTTTTAATTGAGACAGAGTCTCACTTTGTGGCTCTCAGAGTGCCATGGTATCACAGCTCACAGCAACCTCCAACTCTTAGGCTCAAGCTCAAGCAATTCTCTTGCCCCAGCCTCCCTAGTAGCTGGGACAACAAGTGCCCACCATAACACCTACCTTTTTTTTGGGGTCTCACTGTGGCTCAGGCTGGTCTCAAACTCCTGAGTTCAGGCAATCCACCTGCCTCGGCCTCCCAAAGTGCTAGGATTACAGGTGTGAGCCACCATGCCTGGCCCCTAAGCACGTACAGTACAGTCAGTCTGGGGGCAAAGACCCCAGTTAACCATTTGGCAGCTACCAGGTATTGATATTTTATCACTATAAGCTGCCATTTCCTAAGTTATGAAATATTCATAAAAAATAGGGCATCCTGTATGTACTTATTAAGTGGATTAAATGGAATTAGACACATGAAATACTCAGCCCAGTTCCTTATTACATAGTATGTACTCAGTAAACGTTAGCTATTGTGTTTACAATTGTAGGGCCTGGGCATGGTACAGAGGGGGCCTTCTAGGGGAAGGGAATTTGGGACTTGTGCCTTGCTCAAATGGCTTCATGATGGGGAGAAATCACAGCGTGCTGAGGCCACAGGTAGTCTGTAAGGTCCCTCAAAGAGACATGTGTCTTCAATACCTCACAGCCTTTTGGGGAAAGAAAAGGGATATTCTTTGAACCTGTAAAAGGGATAAGAGAAAGCCCTCAGTCTGCCTCACTCACCAGGTCTGGGCCAGGGGCTGGGACAGAACAAAACTCTGAAATGTTGGAGCCCCATGGTACAGCTCAGTTCAGAGCTGTTATTTGTAGATGTATTGGTGCCCTGGACCCACAAGGCCCCAAATTGGGGCTATTTTCAGTTTGACTCTAAAATGTTCTGTGTTATACACTGGGATGAATACCTCTCCTAGCCCATACATTTTTTAAAGTAGGGACTTATCTACTGTCTTTGCTTCTCTGGGACCTTACACAGAGCTTGGCACATGGAATAAACTTAATAGATGTTCATTAACTTTGTGAATCAATCGAGCAAGCACTAAATGTTTGTGGAGCTTCTACTACGTGCTTGATACTGAAGTGGTCACAGTAAGGTACACACCAGCAGGATGCAATACTGTGTATAACTCGATCAAGCTAAAAAACTAAGACCCTGACATGAAAAGGCAGCTAGCCACGCAAGACACTCAGTGCTATGTGCCAGAGACACTTAGTAAGACCCTGGGTGGGAAAAGCTGCCTTCTACTGTCCACAGGGGCTGGAGAGATTCTCTTTAGCCTCATCTGGACTCTTGAGTAGGAGCAAATTCCCACTGAGCTGTGGGTGAGGCCTGAGCCAGGTGCTTCGTCTACCATATGGAAAGACAGAGAGTCCAAGGATCCAAGCATCCTTCTCAAGAGGATCGGGGCCATTTAACCCCTTAGGCTTCATTTCTTCATCTAAAAAGAGAACACTGGAGTAGATCATCTCTAAAAACCCACCCACCATTCACAGAATGTGGTTCTATATTTATTTGTGACACAGAGGCTATTGCAAAGAAAACAATATACACCAACATCACAGCTTCAAGAGACACCCAGCCAGCAGAGGCCAGAATCTACGATGAAATCCCCCAGTTCAAGGTAAGCTGGTGCTGCTCATGGACACCCCCGCCCCCCGCCATCTCCCTGTTGGGGAGTCACGGGCAGCCATCACCCTCTGCTGTTGCCTGGACAGTAGCCAAGGGTCTGGAGGGTCCAACCAGGGAATACCACTATTGGGGAAATGATGCCACAAGCCATTCTATCAGAGGGTAGGAATGTGGCCAATTGTCATCCCATGGCAACCTCCATGGGTTGTGGCCTTGCGTTTCTGCAGAGGATTTGACTGCAGGCTAGAGAGTCATGACTAGGAGGGACCCTAAAGGGGCTGTACAAGGGAGCCCTGGTGTGAGGTGACAGCTGTCATGTGACTACTGATGTGGTCAAGGTTGCTAAGGGGGCTCCGAGGCCATGGCACTGGCAGGAAGGCCCCCTAAGGTATACTCCCTGGTCCAGCAGCAGCAGCAGGTAGCCCTCAGACTCAGAGTCACCCTGTCCTATACCCCTCCTCCCACCTGCCTTCCCCTCCCTCACCTCCACCCAGATCACCTTTCTCTATGTTCCTGGCCACCTGCTTCCCTGAAGTCCCAAAGTGGCGAAGTTAAGACAAAGCCTGTTTGCTCTGTCTAGCACTGTACTTGGACGGGCAGGGCAGCAGGATCCCCAAAGGGAAACTAAAATCCTATCCCAGCAGGACTCAGTCTGAAACATACAGGCCCCTCCTCTAGGCGCCTGAGGTTTTGCATCCCCTAGGCCTTCTCCACCCACTTCTCACCCTGATTCTCTCTGAGCCAGAACTGAGGCCACCTAGTAAGGCAGGACCAGAGAGGGCTGGGGGTGGGGCAGAGTTAGGAGGGGACCCATGCTGTTGAACCTGAGCTTTCTTACCCGGGGGGAACATGGGTGTCTTACAGGTGCTCCCCTCCAAAGAAGAGCCCCCGAACACGATATATTCCATCGTGCAGTTCTCTGATAAGGTAAATCCCTTCTGGCTTTTGAACCCTGTTTTCCTATGTGTTCCAGCCATTCTGGTGCCCCCAGCCCACCCAGCCTGGGGCCAGCTGATCCCCTAGGGACTCTTCCATACTTCTCAGGAGTAACTGCCTTGGACTTTGGTTTATATACAATTCCCCATATGCACACAGCCCTGCTCCCCAGGTCCATAGCCATTTACAAGTTGGTCTGCTTGGGATGCTGATCCCACCTTTCAATGCAGAAACCCCTAGGCCTTGAACTGCAGCCCATGTAACATCCAGGTGGCAGTGTGAACCAGTAGAAAACAGGGCCCTTCCTCTGGGCAGACACAGGCTACATCCAGAGCACAGGCAGCAAATGGGACAGAAGCTGAATTTCAGTTCCCACTGGCCTCCTTGGCCTCCCTTTCCCCCACACACCTGCAAAGCCATTTGTAGAGGTCTAGTGACACTTATAGTTCCCTACCCTCGTGTTCTCTGCGATATGCACAGCCCTGTCACGGGACTTTTAAGTTTTGGAGCAATCTAGGGAAGGGTCATCACTATCTGAAGGTCCTCACTTCTGCTACAGCCGGGACAGCTTTGGGTCACATGAAGTCAAGCTTTGTAAGCACTCCCAACAGCTGAGCTGTACCAGGCAGGAAGCTAAAATGGGTAAGAATAAGAGCAGATTCTGTGAGGCGACAGGAAGGAAATCTAAGAGCTCCACAGGCAGGGAGGAAGTGAACTGGAGAACCAAAATGAGGGACCTTTACATCCTCAGTGATCAGGAGAGGGGAGAAGGGGAAGGAAAACCCAGAAGGGAAGGGCAGGGTGGCTGGTATGTTTGTACCAGCAGCCAAAGGCAAGTGCGAGGTGGGTGGAAGAGTAACTTACCTTTCTAGCTGGCAGAAAGAGAAGAAGACAACATTTGAGGAGTTAATCAGGAAGTCCTGGACCAAGAGATTGCAAAGTAAATCCTCATAGACAAGTTGGATGGCAATTATTCATCAGAGGTTTTTTTTGGTTTTTTTTTTTTTTTTTTTTTTTTTTTGAGACAGAGCCTCAAGCTGTCTCCCTGGGCAGAGTGCTGTGGCATCACAGCTCACAGCAATCTCCAACTCCTGGGCTCAAGCACGTCTCCTGCCTCAGCCTCCCAAGTAGCTGGGACCACAGGCGCCCACCACAACGCCCGGCTATTTTTTTTGGTTGTAGCCATCATTGTTGTTTGGCGGGCCAGGGCTGGATTTGAACCCGCCACCTTAGGTGTATGTGGCTGGCGCCTTAGCTGCTTGAGCCACAGGCACCGAGCCATTCATCAGTTTTTAATTTAAAACCTAAGACTGTGGGCTTGGCACCTGTAGCTCAGCAGCTAGGGAGCCAGCCACATACACAAGAGCTAGTGGGTTCGAATCCAGTCTGGGCCTGCCACACAACAATGATAACTACCCAAAAAATAGCTAAGCATTGTGGTGGGTGTCTATAGTCCCAGCTACTTGGGAGGCTGAGGCAAGAGAATCACTTAAGCCCAAGAGTTTGAGGTTGCTGTGAGCTGTGATGCCACGGCATGCTACCCAGGGCAATAGCTTGAGACTCTGTCTCAAAAAAAAATCCCTAAGACTGCTCAAGCCAATGGGACAGTTATTTGCAGCTCTCTCAATGCCTAGAGCACTTGAAAGGCTGGTGGTGACCAGACATTAGTGGTGACTCTCCACTGTGTATAGGTGAAAGTGGGATCATGGGGATAGGAAAAAAACTAGGGCTTGACTAGCAACAAGAAATGCAGGTAGCTTGACCCTGGATGTTGCTTCAAGCCTATAATGAACATCAAGGTCAAATACCCCCCTCCCATTCCTTCCTATTGCTCTTTTCTCCTAGCTGCCCGGGGGGTCCCAAAACATGTAGCTGGAGTAGCAGCTAGGGACTCAGCAAAGGACAAGGCCTTGCTCTCCCAGATTTCCCCAGTGCTGGGGAAACCTAAGGTGTCCCCATGCCATTTGCTTACTCTCCTGGGAACCTTCCAAAGTTTCCCAGTAGCAGTTTGCAGTAGGCACAGTCTCACACTTCCCTCTCCCTCATAGATGGGGAAAACCAGCACAAAGGCCCACAAACCACTTGGGACTTCAAGCTACGAAATTGTGATCTAGGCTGCCGGACAGAATTCTCCCTCTGGAAAGTGAGTCACACCCACCAATACTGGCGGGTGCCCTGAACCCACACCTTCTCCTTCAGCTCTTATCCAGGAGATTGCAAATCACCACATCCCAACATGTAAGCAAAGCAGGAGACCCATGTGCCTAGATGGACAGATGGGGGCCTTTCTAAAATGGCTCTCTTCTGGACAAAGAAGGGTTCCCAAAGTTGACAAAGCGGGTTCCCAAACTTCTTCACAGCATAATGTATACAGAAAATAACATTATTATAGCACTCTGGGATTAAAAAAAAAAATCAAGATTGCTCACATCTGGGGGCTGGTGGTGACTAGCAGCTTCTCATGACTGGAAGTGACAACCCTGCCCAGCAAGAAGGGGAGCAATATTTTGCATACCTGTTGTATGTCATGGCACACCAGCTAGAACGCTCTGCTCTCACACTATGTATGTGAGGAGCCCTGGTACTTGGTCTCCTCCGGTCTCTACAGCATCATGAGCAAATTAGGAAAAGGCACCCTTTGTTCAAGGCAGATGCACCCTTTGTTGAAGGCAGATGCAGCCTCTAACCCGAGTGCACGGAAGCCCCACACACCCTGGGGAGCTTGGGACAGGGTGCACGTAGCTCAACCAGCCCAAACACAGATGACAGTCCAGGTGGGAGAGGCCGCCAGCCATGCAACATGCTCTCCAATGTGGTGCTGGAAAACACTCTTTCTGTGGATTCTGGACTGCTGGGACACTTTTCTCTGGGTTCTACTTAAGAAGCCGTGCAGGATTTTCCTTCTAGCCAGGCTTTCTTTCTGAGACACTCAGAGCAGCCCCAGCAAGAAGCATCTGCCATACCCAGCACCATGCTCTCCCGCAGGAGTTGGCCTACTACATTTCCAGAACTTCAGAGGAACTGGGTGTGACCCAACCATCACCACAAGGGACGGTGCATGAAGCAGAGTCATTCTCCGGAGGGAACACAGGATGGCGCAAGGGATGAACTGAGTTTATCTCACTTCCTCAGGCTCAGCTCAGAGAGCTGTGAGGGTTAAGCCGAGGCTGCGTTCCTCCACCCGGGCACCCACCCCCCACAAACACAGAACCAACCAGTCACACAGGCATTAATAACTCTCAGCAGTGAGGAAGAATCACCCTCAGCTGACCAGGACTTACATGTGATCATTTGAAGAAGTGTTTTCTTTATGTGTTAGCAAACATGACCAGCTAAACCTAAATCCTGGTGAATGACCCCAGGCTGTACAGAAGATATGAGCTGCATTTAGGCATCAGTCCCTGTGAATGATCCCAAGACCCAACTGGCACTGACTGCCGTTAACGCTATGTCAGGGGCTATGAGGCCCCAAAGTGGAAGGTGTGTATAACGTCTGCCCTTGTCTAGCCAAGGAGACCCTGCGATTAAATCCTGAACTGCACCTGCAAATACTGGCATGAGCTAGACCATATGGAGGAGGCAGGGCTGAAGCTGGGCCTCAAAAGATGGGTGGAGTTTGGATAAAGAAAGAGGAGCAGAGAAGCCCTCCAAGTGAGAGAACATGACCATGAGTAGAGGCCTGGATCTGTGGGCTGTGTTCAGGGCGCCGCCCAGATCCACCATGCACACTCACAGTTTCTTGCCTATGTATGGCAGAGTGCCTCAGTGCTACATCCTTTAATGCCCACCTCAAATGGAACCTTCCTGAGAAGCTGTCTGTGGTGTTAATAGTCACCACAGACAGCTTCTTGGTTCTTTTCACTCTCCTTTTTTCCTTTTGGTCCTTCCATCACTAGAACTCATCTCGTTCTGCCTTACAGCATAAATAATCACTTGCTTTCCTCACTACAGTGTACACTACTTAATGGCAAGATCTCTATACCCACCACCATCCACAGGGCTCCATGTATCCCGTGTATGGTAATAAATGCAGTCCAGTGGGGCTGACAGTGACCAGCCAGCTCCAATGGAAGGTAAAAGTCAGAAGCAGAGCTAGAGAGAAGCCAGTAAGCACAGCGCCACCCCATCATGGTGAGCATGAAATGTCAGGATGCCGATGTCAGAGGCTATTCCTGGGGCAAGGGCATTTTGAGGTGAAAAGATTTCCAGAGTTACACAGACCAACTGAGAGGTCCGCTGAGGCATTGAACCAGGTTTAAGGAGGTGGAAAGGCAGTGACTTGGGGAGGGACACAGAGAAGGGAATAAAGAGGCTTGGTCATAAAGGGTGGAGGACTTCCAAAGTGACACTCAACCAGCTGCTTCTAAAATGAAATCATTCCCCTCCCTGGAGACAAGCTGAAGAATCACTCTGAATGTTCTCATTCCCTAACTGACCCCTTCCTCTTCCCAAGATGCTCTCCCAGGTAAAATTCCTAGTGTCCTAATGACATGTATGTAGTGCCAGTAATAATAATAACAATAATAAAAGAAAGAAAAAAAGGAAAATAAAAAGAGTCAGAGCAGATCAGGTCTATTATGTCTTGGAGAAAAGCAACCCTGGGATGGAGCCAGTGCACAGGCACTCTTACGGGGTGGCCCTTGGGCTCAGGACCACCCCACTCTTTCTCACTGCTGCTTTCCTTTGCCTCTTCTGATTTATGAAGATGAAGTTACCCCCTCTCTTGGGCTCAGTTCTCAGATTTTCTTTGGGTAAAATGAATGTGATCTTATTTTCCCCTTCAGTTTTCCACGTGAACTAGATTGTGATCAACAGCTATATAAAATCAAAGTATCCTTTCAGTGGGCAGGATCTTGCTTCAGACCAAGAGGAACTGGATTTTTTAATGTGCCGCGAAAGTGAAATCTCTGAGACAGTGAGTGCCCTCTGGTGGAAAGCAGCGGAAAGCCAGGACAGTCCCTCCGCCGTCTGCATACACCTTTACTCAGGAGCTCGGCTGAGAAAATGAGGAATGTTGGAACTCATGCCCCTCAGAAGCAGCAAATGCATCAGCCTGAAATGTGATTTTTTTTTTTTTTGAGACAAAGCCTCAAGCTGTCGCCTTGGGTAGAGTGCCGTGGTGGCACAGCTCACAGCAACTTCCAACTTCTGGGCTTAAGCGATTCTCTTGTCTCCACCTCTCAACTACAGGCGCCCCCAGCTATTTTTTGGTTGTAGTTGTCATTGTTGTTTGGCAGGCCCAGGCTGGATTCAAACCCGCCAACTCTGGTGTATGTGGCTGGCACCTTAGCCTCTTAAGCTACAGGCACCAAGCCCTCAAATGTGATTTTTAAAATCACCTGTACAAGGCCAGGTGCAGTGGCTCATGCCTATAATCCCAGCATTTGGGGAGGCTGAGATGCATGAATTCCCTGAACAAGACCAACCAGAACAAGCGTGAGACCCCCATCTCTAAAAATAGCCAGGCATTGTGGCAGGTGCCTGTAGTCTCAGCGATTTGGGAGGCTGAGACAAGATGATCAGCCTCTTGAACCAAAGAGTTTGAGGTTCTTGTGAGCTATGACCCCAGGGCACTTTACCAAAGGCAAAAAAGTGAGACTGTCTCCAAGAAAAATTAATTAAAATAAATTTTAAAATAAAATTTAAAAAAATAAAATAAAAAGTCTGTAGAACACTGTAAACAACCTGCCCCCATGAGACGAGCTTGGTACAGCCAGCTTGCAAACTGGGCATGGGCCTGAAGGAGACTGGCTGGCCTGGGCGATGTCCACAGAGAGCACTTCTCAGGTTCTGCCTAGAGAGAAGCAGCCAGTCTCTATTTTTTCCAAATTCATTATTTTTCTTCTGCTTTTAGCTTTTCTCTGATTTTCCCTGGTTTACATAATTTTCTCAAGAACAATTACTGACTTGAGAATGACAACAATAAAGGAAGTGTAATGAGTGATCACAAACATGGGCTCTGACAGTAGAGGGACTGGGCCTGAACCCTAGTTTCTTAGTGATGTGACCGGGGGCAAGTTAGTTTAACCTCTCTGTGCCTCAGGTTGCCATCTGTAAAATGGGGACAATATGAGTTCCTACCTTGTGGGGATTAAAAGAGGTGTTACTTATCTAAGAATATGCCCGCACGTGGAAAAGCCCTGGATTATTTTACAAGCTGTTCTTGAAGGCCTGAAAGCTTCATGAGACGCTAATCCAAACCTATGAAATAAAACTTTTTGCAGTGGAAATGCAGCTGATGGCACGTCAAATTAATGTTGTATGTCAAACTTTTAACTCCATCCCTCCTAACTCAGACCTATTTTCTTATATGTGTGCACAGTGTCTGTTCCCTCAGTCACTAACATGACACCCTCTAATTACCTAATTCTATACCTGTCTCTCAAGCCAGACTGAAAGAAGAGGGGATAATATTTCTAAATAATAACAATAATAATAACAGAGATTGGCAAGTTCTTGGCAGGCAAGGAGCCTATAATAATTCATTGAGCGTTTGTTTTGTACACCCACTGCTACACTAGATGTTTTATACATTATTGCCGATACAGCAGCCCTGTAAAGCAGCAGTTAATTCTTCTAGTTAACATAAAGGCTGAGGGAATGAATACCTGGCAAGTAATTTGCCAATTAATATGCAGTCTAAAAAGACAAAAAATTCAGCAGTGTAAATACATAGTACAAACACCTTAGCAAAGGGAGGAAGTTGAGAAGATAGGATCTGAACTCAAGACTTCTTATCACCAATGGCTATGCACTTGCCCCCTGCCATGTTCCTCCTTTTCCCCGCTGTGGAGTCCCAACATCTTGGTACTTGGCCTCAGATATAGCACACACCTGACACTTTGCTTGACAAATACTTGTTGAATAAATTCTTGCATCTACTGATATTTAAAGGTATTAAAAACAGCTCAAAGTAGATATATTTGTATATTAAATCTATATCATCCACAAATTTTACCCTGTAAGTGCTTAAGAAGTGGAACTAACAGCTCCATTAATTGTGTGCATAAATATGAAATATTGTGTAAATATGTGTAAACAATAAATGTTATTTATAATGCATCTATACTTTTGGGGGGTCTTACTTTATTTTGCAAGTACGGAAGAATAAAGTAAGTAGCTAAAATAGCAGAGTTTTATGAGAGGGTCAACGTAAGAAAAGTCTTGTGCAGTTCGAGAACCCAGGCCCTGTGTAGACAAGAGACCAAGGGACTGAAAGGAAAAGAGAAGTCTGACATGAGAGAGATGACTGAGAGGAGACTGAGAAGCTAAAGGCAGGGAGGTCTAACACCATGAACAGCAAGCAATGAGGGCTGCAGAGGTGTCCAGCGGTGGGTGGAGAAGGGAGTTCTGCCTTGATCAACCTACAGAGGGGAAAATCTAGCACTTAAATCATAGGAGCTTTGTCTTACCATAGGGTTGCATCACAAGAGCCAACACCTACTAGGAATTAATAAATGTTGGTTCAACTGGGTTTGGACCCAGACATTGGGAGGGAAAAGGGGTTCCTGGGACCCACTTTCAGAGACTGAGTCTAGGGAATATGGAGTAGGGATTGTCCAGGTCACCACAGAGCCTCTTCAAGGAAAGGGATAAACAGACTGGTTTTTTAAATGAGGAGAATAAGGTCATGGATCCCACAGACCCCTCCTGCAGGATGTTTTGTAAAACGCTGAAGGGGAAATGACTTGCTAGGTGGTGATGTGTGAGATAGCAAATGGCAGCTTGCAGGTCTGAGTAATAAACCACTTCCTCTGCTCCCTGCTTATCAAAGGAGCCCCAGCTCCTCTGTTCTGAGCCACTCTGCAGAGGAGCCTGGTCTCCCAGGTCCCCCAGCTATATCTCTTCATCCTTTTCCGGTTAAGCTGAAATTGGCTGCTACTCAGAAAGAATTTCAGATCCCTGTGCTTCTGCAACAGATGCAGCCACCACTCAAGAGGATTAAAAAAATGAGTGATGTTTCTCGGTGTCCTCTGAGGTTTGGCACATTTTGTTTCATTTCATCTACACGTTAGCCCTAGGACTCTCCCTCTGCCTGACATCATCTCCCCTCCTGACCCTCCTTACCTCTAAAACACAACTTTACCTGCTCAATACACAATCATTCCTCCAGGCTAAGCTCACATCCCTTCCCTGAGAGAAGTCTTCCCTGCTCTTGCAGACCACGTCCAATGCCTATATTTTGCTTTTATTGTACAATATCTTTTCCTTCCTGGCAGTTTTCACATTTCATCTCTAAATATTTCTCCCTGTGATTATTTGATTAATGACTCTCTTCTGCCACTGGACTGTGAGCTCCATCAGGACACAAGCTGTGTCTAGATTACTCACCATTTGTATCCACCCTGCCTGATCCTGTGCAAGGTACAGAGGAAGTCCTCGATGTGTAATAGTTTGCTTAATTATCGAAGATGCAACAGTTTGTGCTGCCTTTAACTGCGTTATCTGCGATGTGACAATCCTTTGGTATGTGTCTCAATGACAAAGCTAGATATTATTCTCTTTATTCCTCAGTATTTTCCCTAAATAGATCCTACAGGTTGGGTGTAGTGGCTCACACCTGTAATTCCAGCACTTTGGCAGGCCAAGGTGAGAGGATTGCTTGAGGCCAAGAGTTCAAGACCAGCCTAGGTAACATAACAAGATGCCATCTCTGCAAAAAAAAATTTTCAAATTAGCCCAGCATGATGTTACATGCCGATGGTCCCAGTTACTCATGAAGCTGAGGCAGGAGGATCACTTGAGCCCGGGAGTTGGAGGTTGCTGTGAGCCAAGATCCCATCACTGCACTCCAGCCTGGCAACAGAGTGAGAAATTGTCTCCAAAAAATAAGTAATGGATTGGTGCCCATAGCTCAGTGGTTAGGGTGCCAGCCACATGCACCGGGCCTGGTGGGTTTGAACCCGGCCAGGGCCTGCTAAACAATAATGATAATAATAATAATAAAATAGCTGGGCATTGTGGTAGGTGCCTGTAGTCCCAGCTACTTGGGAGGCTGAGGCAAGAGAATCACTTAAGCCCAAGAGTTTGAGGTTGCTGTGAGCTATGACACCATGGCATTCTACCCAGGGTGACATAGTGAGACTTTGTCTCAAAAAATAAATAAATAAAAAGTAAAGATGCTCTAGAACAGCAGTTCTCAACCTATGGGTTGCGACCCACAGGAACCGTACTAAAGGGACGCGGCATTAGGAAGGTTGAGAACCACTGTTCTAGAACCTTTGGCTGGAAATATAGTAGGAAAATATCAATTTTACCTCCTATGCAGAAAACAGAAAAGTTAGCACAACAGGACTAAAGCTGCCGTACTTTGAAAGATATGTTTATGAGACTAGTCCTTGGCTGGTGTCTAGGAATTTGGACTTTTTGCAAAGGCTTTTATTACCTCCTCGTAAGAATGGCTCATACTATACCTAGACTGTTTGCAAACAGTTTAGTTATGCTGAAAAACTGCTTTCCTTCTTGGATCCTAGAATTTTGGCACTTGCTAGGCAGAGGTAGCTTCCTTGGTAGATAACACTTCAAATATGTTGTCACACTTGTTGTTGAAGGAATCAAGCATGCCCTATGTGACTTGACTAAGAGAACTCCTGAAAACTTGCCCCTGATTTCCTTTGGACCTTTCCCTATGTATCCTTTCCGTTCACAGTGTTTTGTATCCATTCACTACAATAAGTATGGCCATATGCTGATCCTGTGAGTCCTCCAGGGAGTCATCAAAGCTGGGGTGGTCTTGAAACCCTAACACACCTCCTGAATGTTGTGAAATCTATCTACTTCTCCACTTTCACCACTAGCTATGGTTGTCTAAGTCATCGCCATCTCTTACTGAAGCCATAACACTTTACCTTCCTGCAGTCATGCTTGCTACAGTCTAATCTATAAGGTCCAACAAACTCATCCTAGGAAAAGTGCTATGTACCTCATTGATGAATATCACTATGGTCACCTTTGAAGTACTCCCCTTGGCCATCTGGTATCATAATGGTATTTAGTAATGAGGTATGTAGCACTTTTTTTAGGATGAGTTCATGAACTTCATTGTCTGACTTCATATTCCCTACTCCACAACCAGAGTGCTTTTTTTTTTTTATAATTTCCTTTTATTATTGTTGTTGTTGTTTCAGGTTAATTTGAGGGTACAAAGAATTAGGTTACAATGTTTGCACTGTCCAAAAGCATAGAAAATAGGAGGAAGCTTTTAAATTCACTTAACACTGAAATAAAACACTGATTCCAAAGCTAGTTGAAGATGATCCTCCAGAAAGAGATAAAAATGACCACAGGTTAGCAAATGATAGCCTGTGACCAAATCCAGCCTTCCACCTGTTTTTACGTAACCTGCGGACAAAGAATAGTTCTTACATTTTTAAACAGTTAAAAAAAACTTCAAAAGATGAATATTTTGGTGCATGTTAAAATTATATGAAATTTAAATGTCATTGTCCATAAATAAAGTTCCGCTGGAATACAGCCAACGCTCCTTCTTTCATGTATTGATTATGGCTGTTTTCACACTATGACAGCAAAGTTGAGCAGTTGCAAAGAAGAAAGCGTTGGCTCACAAAGTCTAAAATATTCACCATCTGGACCTTCACAGAAAAAGTCTACCACATCCTGACACAGACCAAATCTCACTCATAAATGTTAAAAGTATTCATTTAAACTTTAGCAAATTGAACCACACAGTGCTTTAAAAGAAAAAGGCAATGAGGAGGATTTATCAGAATGTAAGGAAGATTTATCTTTAAGAAACCATCTGGCTCGGCTCCCATAGCTCAACGGGCTAAGGCGCCAGCCATGTACACCTAAGGTGGCGGGTTGGAATCCCCAGCCTGGACCCGCCAAACAACAATGACGGCTGCAACCAAAAAATACCCGGGTGTTGTGGCAGGCGCCTGTGGTCCCAGCTACTTGGGAGGCGGAGGCGGAGGCAAGAGACTCGCTTGAGCCCAGGAGTTGGAGGTTGCTGTGAGCTGTAATGCCACGGCACTCTACCCAGGGGGACAGCTTGAGGCTGTGTCTCAAAAAAAAAAAAAAAAAAGAAACCATCTATTGTAGTTTTCCATTTAAACAGATTAAAGGAGCAGGGTGGGAGGGGATAAATATTCATAATAATGGATTCCACAAGATATATTTGATAAACATCAACACTCACAACAGATTAAAAACAAAATTACAAACAAGCTAAAAATAGAAGATGTTTCAGTCAAAGTTCAATTAGGAAAACTGAAACCATGTGAAACATTGCAAGTCAAGCTAGTTGAATACACAGAATGGATTGTAAGAGTGATGGAGAAATAAAACAGGAAAGCTGAGGTTATCAAGGAATTAACAATTCCAGGAAGCTGCTATAGAAATTTGCCTGTAGAACCAGTGCTGCTGCCTGCCAAGATTCCAAGAATTCTGTCTCATCAAAATTACAAGAGACTGGGAGATGAAGTCACCCACCTCTGCAGATGCCATCATCCAAAAGCCTCAGCCCACAAGTGCCACACTACCAAGACTTCTGGAACACTTGCTAGAACTGCACTGCTAAACCAGAACCCCTGGTTTAGGTTGGGTTGTACCATCTTCCACCATAGCTCCACTACTAAAGACACAACCAGAAAGATTAAGAGGAAAACATTCTTTCTTCCTTCCTTCCAGCTTCACCAGTACCTCCCATTGGTAAAATCTAATCAGAACCTTTCTGACAAAGAAAAAGATAAATGTAGTTTGCAGGCTTCCCACCCTCTGATAAACAGAAAAGCACAGAAGGGTGGGAATAGAGCAGAGGAGGAAACAAATTTCTAGAAACATAGAATCCATAAAGACTGGATCGTGAAAAAAAAAGAAGACTGAAGACTGGATCATGGAGAAATAGAAAATCTGGCTATACCTATAACTACTAAGAATATTAAATCAGTAATCAATAGCTTCCCAACAAAGAAAAGTCCTGGGCCAGATGGCTGTATTAGTCACCAAACATTTTTTAAAAGTTTAAAACAAATCCTTCTCAAACTTCCAAAAATTAAAGAGGAATGTATTAGTCCACTTAGTCTTCCATAACAAAAACACAAGGTAGCTTAAACAAATAGAATTTATTTCTCATAGTTCTGGAAGCTGGGATGTTCAAGAATGAGACAGACAATTTGGTTCCTGGTGAAGCTCTTCCTGGCTAGTCGTTGGCCCACCTTCTCGATACATCCTTACATTGTGGAGAGAAAGTTAAGAGCTCTGGTCTCTCTTCCTCTTTTTGTAAGGGCACTATTCCTATCATGAGGGTCTCAGGTTCCTGAGCTCACCTAATTACTTGCCAAAGGCTCCACCTCAAAATACCATCACATTGGGGGTAAGCACTTCAACATCTAAATTTGGAGCAGGTACAAATATTTAGTCCTTAACAAGGAGGGACCACTTCCTAACTCATTCTAGAAGGCCAGCATTACCCTGAAAGCCAGACAAAGACACTAAATGAAAATGAAATTACAGACCAATATTTCTTATAAATATTGATGCAAAAATTTTTGAAAAGAGTGGCAAACCAAATTCAGCAGCCTATTAAAAGGATTTTATATCATTACCTAGTAGAATTTATTATTGGCATGCAAGGAGGAATCAACATACAAAAATCAATCAATGTAATACATCACATTAAAAGAAAGAAGGAAAAAAATCTGATCATCTTTATTAATGTAGAAAAAGCATCTGATGAAATTCAACATATTTTTCATGAAAAAACATCCAATGAAGTAGTAATAGGGCTTCCTTAACATAATAAAAGCCATATATGAAAAACCCACAGCTAACATCATACTCAATGGTGAAAGTCCAAAAGCTTTTCTCTTAACATCAAGAACAAGACAGGTTGCTCACTTTCACTGCTTCTATTCAATGTAGTATTAGAAGCTCTAGCCAGAGCAATTAGACAAGAATAAGAAATAAAAGATATCTCAATTGGAAGAAAGAAGCAAAATGATCTTTGTTCACAGATGACATACTCTTATTATATGTTGAAAATCCTAAAGGTTGCACACCCACACACGAACTATTAAAGCTAATTAAAAACCCAGCAAAGTTGTAGAACACAAAATCAACGCACAAAAATCAGGTGAATGTCTAAAGACTAATAACAATCCAAAAGGATGTAGGAAAACAATTCCACTTACGATAACACCAAAAAGAATAAAATAGGAGCTTGTACATCAAAAATAATAAGACATTGCAGAAAGAAATTACAGAATACATAAATAAATGGAAAGACATCTTGTGTTCATGGACTGAAAGATTTCATATTGTTAAGATGACAATACTACTCAAAGCAGTCTACAGGTTCAATGTAATCCCTATCAAAATTCCAAGGATGTTTTTGCAAGAAATTGAAAAACTCATGTAAAATACATATCAAATCTTAGGGGCGCCAGTAGCCAAAACAATCTCTAAAAATAAGAACAAAGTTGGAAGATTCACGCTTTCCGATTTCAAATCTTACCACACAGGTACAGGAATAAGACCGTGTGGTACCAGGGCAAAGACAGACAAACCAATGGAATAGATGGTTTTTGACAAGGGTGCTGAGAGCACTCAATGAGGGTAAAGACAGTTTTTTCAACAAGTGGTGCTAAGCCAATTAAATAGCCACATGCAGAAAATAAACTTGGACCCCTACCCCAAACCATATACGAAAATTAACTGAAAATGGATCAAATGCTTAACTATAAGAGCTAAAACTATAAAACTCTTAGAAAAAAATAGAGAAAATCATAATGACATTGGATTCGGCAATGGTTTCTTGAATTTGATACTAAAAACATGAACAACCAAAGAAAAAATAAATTTAAAAAATCATTAAAATAAAAAAAAATTACCACATCAAAAGACACTTTCAAGAGAGTGGAAGGGCAGCACACAAAAGGGGAGAGGATATTTTCAAAATCAAGTATCTGACAAGGGATCAATATCCAGAATATATAAAAAGAAAATTCCCACAACTCAACAAAAACTCTAACGATCTAATTTTAAAATGCGAAAAAGACTTAGACTTCTTACTCCAAAGAAGGCAAGCAAATGGATATAAGTACATGAAAAGATGCTCAACATCCCTAAGCATTAGGAAAGACAAATCAAAACCACAGTGAGATACTATTTCACACTCATAAGATAGCCATTACCACAAAATGAAAAATAACAAAGGTTGGCAAGGATATGGAAAAACTGGAACCCTTGTTCCAATTGCAGGTCAGAGGACAAACTGGTGAAGCCGCTATAGAAAACAGTTCAGAGGCTCCTCAAAAGGTAAACATAAAATTACCATAAGATCCAGCAATTTCACGTCTAGGTGAACCCAAGGAACTAGAGGACAGAGATTTGAACAGATACCTATACGCCATAGCAGCATTATTTACAATAGCCAAAAAGGAGAAACAACCTGTGTCCATCAACAGATGAATGGATAAACAAATGTCATATATACATACAATGGAATATTATTCAGTCATAAAAAGGAATGAAGTTCTGTTACATGCTGTGACACAGATAAACCTTGAACACATTAGGCTAAGTGAATAAGCTATACACAAAAGGACAGATATTGTGTGATTCCGCTTACAGGAGATACCTATAAGAGGCAAATTCATAGAAACAGAAAGTAGGTTAGAGGTTCCCAGGACCTAGAAGAAAAAGGAATGGGCAGTCCTCACAGTTCCTATTTGGGGAAACGGGTTGCAGTTCCATTTAAATAACTTGGAAATGCTGATGATTGCATGACATGATGGATATAATTAGTGTGCTGAATGGCACACTTAAAAATGGTTAAAGTGGTAAATTTTAGCTGACATAACAACAACATATACTTTAGGCTATTTTGCCACAAAGAAGTAATTCTGCCAAAATGAAAAAAGTACCTAGATAGAAAGTGAACATTCCAATTGACATTGCACAATGAAGATTTTCGTACTTGGCTCAGGAAAAAGTAAATGAAATAATAGTAAGTTTAAAATTTGGATTTTTAATGTGGGGGAAAGATGTTCTCACACGTTCTGAGAGGAAGGGGAAGTCTAAGTATTCAACATACTTTCAGTTTATGACAGAGTGACAATATCTCTGACTGCGGCAACGTCCCCAGCACCAGTCTCCTCCACCGAGAGGATGTTCTGGCTGTTCCAGTCTCTCCCGCTTGTCTTCTGCCTTGGCCCAGGTAAGTGTCGTTGCAGACCTACACAGTCACTGAGTGACTCCCTGGTTTGGGGTAGCTTGCTCAGTCTGAATTACGGGTATACAGCTGTCTTGGCTGGCTGTCTACCAAGGGTCAGGGCGCAGGGAGAGCGGCCAGGCTTTGCCTTGGTGCCTGATAAACTACGGCTTCCTCTTAACTTTGAATGCTAGAGCCTGAGATGGTTCACAGCAAACAACTCCAACTGTGTCTGCATGTAGAGCATTATGCGCCGGGGGGTATGGGAAATGAGCTTTTGTAAAACAAGCTTGTGTTTGTGACTTACGACCAGCACATGGTGGTAAAGGGTGCTAAAGTGAGGAAAATGAGTCCTCACACCAGTTCAGCTACTTTCTTACTGCGTAACCTCAGGGAGGTAACTGATGCTCCCTGAGCCGCACTGACCTCCTTTAGAACACTGAAAACCGATGATTCAATTGAGCTAAATTTCTGGGCTCGACCAAAAACACTAGAAATTGTCTTCTCATCTTTTGCTAACTGAAACAAACAGGTCTCAAAGGATTTACATTCCTTTGATGTAAATCAGTTCAGGGCTGCTTCACTGTGACAGTGAGTAAGGGATGAACTGACCGCTAGCTTCTTGTTCCTAGCTGGCCACTGCCTGAAGGACAGGAAGGTTCAGATCATGTTTGGGGACCCACAGGTGGTTCACAGGGGCCACAGAATAGCATTCAGGAAGAGAGGGGCCAGAAAACCAAACAGGAAGGCTAGCCCAGAGCTGGCAGGGTAAGTGATAAAAATAGCTGTCACTTATCGAGTGGTTATTCTATTTCAAGGACTGCACCAGATGCTATACATGCATTATAAGTCTCAAGACAGTTGTGTGAATTCGTATTACTATGGCAATTTGAAAATAAAGAAGTGAGGCTAAGAAAATTTAAATAACGTGCCCAAATTTCATTAGCCATCATGTGGCATGCTCTTGCAATAGTTCTGAGAAACAATGACAGCTGATGAAATAGAGCAGCAGCACAAGAGAAAGAAGGGACTAAAGCAAGAGATGCGGCACTGACTAGATTAGTTCTCAACAGGAACAGAAGGCAGGGGACTTCATTAAGCCATTCAATAAATAAATATTCACCAAGCACCTGTTGGATGCCTAGCACTAGATTCTGGGGAGACATCAAGAACAGAGCAGGCAAAAATTCTGGCTTCCGTTGGGTTAACATTTTAGCAAGGCAGATAAACTATAAGTGAGATAAATAAGAAAAGTAGGGTATTGGCTGGTGATAAGGAAGAAATGACAAGTGATAAGAAGTGATAAATGATAAGGAAGAAATAAGGAAGGGAAAGGAGACATGAAGTGTGGCGAAGAGGGCGGTCTAATTTCAGATAGGATAGCCAAAGGAGGTGACAAAATTAGGAGATGGAGAGGAACCACGGGGAGAAAAGTGAGTTCAGCTTTGGACCTACTGATTTAAGGATGGCAGGATGGTATCTGTGAGAAGATTTTCTGAAAGCAGCTGGAAATTTTGAACTAGGGGTAGAGCTGGAGCTAGAGACTTGAAAGTTAACCGCATAGAGATAAGTGAAGCAAAGGAGAAAAGTGGAAAGAGGACAGAACTTTGGCAAAGATAGATAGATAGAGCATTCTTTCATTCATTCTGAGGACACTTCCTGACCTGGAAGCAGAAACTCGAGCCTTTGCCTTATTTTTACCTCCTTACAAATTTAACGCACCTCTAGAATGATATATACTAAATGTCTTCATGATAAAACTCCTCTCTTTCTCCCCATTTCTATTGATACTTCCTGTGATGACCCTATGATATATACATACACCGTGAAGGAATACAAATGATTTTTGTCTGTGGATCTTATATACTTCAACTACACTGAATTCATTTCTTAGCTCTGATCATTTTTTGTAGTTTTTAGGATTTTCTATCTATATGGTCATGTTTTCTGTGAATGAAATAGTTTCACTTATTTTTCAATTGAGCTGTCTTTTTTTCTTTTGGTTTTTTTTTTTTTTTTTTTTTTTAGAGACCGAGTCTCACTTTATTGCCTTCAGTAGAGTGCTGTGGCGTCATAGTTCACAACAACCTCCAACTTCTGGGCTTAGGCAATTCTCTTGCCTCAGCCTCCCGAGTAGCTGGGACTACAGGCGCCCACCAGAATGCCTGGCTATTTTTTTGTTTGCAGTTTGGCAGGGTCTGGATTAGAATCTGCCACCCTGAGTATATGGTGGCTACCCACTGAGCCACAGGCACTGCTGAGATGTCTTTTATTTCTTATTCTTGATTAATTGCTCTAACTAGAACCTCCAGTACAATGTTGAGTACAAATGGTGAAAGTGGGCATTGTTGCCTTTTCCGATCTTAGTTGGAAGACTTTTAATGTTCCATACTTGAGTAGAATGATAGCTGTGGGTTTTCATAAAAATAGGTTTCATTTTTATGAAGTTTCTTTCACTCCTAGATTCTCAAGTGTGTTTATATGAAAGGGTGTTGGATCTTTTCAAATGCCTTTTCTACATCAATTGAGATTGCCATGTGTCTCTTTTCCTTCAGTCTGTTAACATACTATATTAGATTGATTGATTTTCATATGTTGAATCATTTTTTAATTTCTGAAATACATTTTTCTTTGAGACAGAGCTTCACTCTGTTACCCCAGATAGAGTGCTATCATCATCATAACTCAAAGCAACCTCAAATTCTTGGGCTCAGGTGATCCTCTTGCCTCAGCCTCCCAAGTAGCTGGGACTACAGGCACCCACCACAACACCTGGCTAGTTTTTCTATTTTTAGTAGAGACAGGATCTTGCTCTTGCTCAGGCTGGTGTCCGACTCCTGAGCTCCAGCAATCTACCTACCTCAGCCTCCCACAGCCTTACAATTATGGGCCACAGTGCCCAGACTCTGAGATACATTTTATTTGGTCATGCTGGGTAATCCTCTTAATATGCTCCTGAATTTAGTTTGTTAATGTTTTCTTAAGGATTTTTACATCAATATTCATAAGGAATATTGGTCTGTCGTTTTCTTTTGTTCTGATGTCTTTGACTTTTGTATCAGGGTAATGCTGACCTAAAACAGTGAGTTTAAAACTGTTTTTCTCTTCTTCTATTTTTGGGAAGAACTTGAGAATGATTGCTGTTAAGTATTCTTTAAATAATTAGTAGAACTCACCACTGAAGCCATCTGTCTTTGTCAGGAAGTTTTGTTTACTGATTGAGTCTTCTTTCTTGTCATAGGTCCTCTTACATTCTCTATTTCTTCTTAGGAAATAGTTTATGAGTTTCTAGGAAATTTTTCAACTTCATGTAGGTTATCTTTTTGTTGGCAAAATGTTATTCATAGTGTTCTCCTATAATCTTTTCATTATTATTTCTGTAAGGTCTGTAGTAATGCCCCCACTTTCATTTAGTTTTATTAATTTGAATCTTCTCTCATTTTTCCCTAGCCAACCCAGCTACATTTGCCAATTTTGTTGATTTTTTTCAAAGAATCAATTTTTGGTTTCATTGATTTTTCTCTATTTTTTACTTCTGTAATTTATCTCTGCTCTAATCTCTATTATTCCTTTAGCAATTCTTATAGTACCGGTCTACTAGCAATAAACTACATCTGCTTTTGTTAATATCTTGGAATGTCTTAATTTTACCTTCATTTTTGAAGGATAATTTTGTCAGCTGTAAAATTTGTGTTTGATGAGTTCTTTTTTCTTTCAGCACCTTAAATATGTCATTCCATTGCCCTATGAAATCCATGATTTATTCTAAGAAATTGGCTGTTAATTTTATTGAACACCACTTGAACATGTTAAGTCACTTTCTCCTTCTGCATTTGAGATTTTCTTCATTTTTACCTTTCAATTGGTTGATTATAATTTGTCTTGCTATGGTTCTCTTTGAGATTATTCTTCCTGGAATTCATTGACTTTCTTGGATGTATAAGTTCATGTATTTTATCAAATTTGAGAATTCGGGGACATTATTTTCTTTAAAATCATTTCTGCCCCTTTCTCTCTCTTCTCTCCTTTGTATACTCCCATTATGCTATTTGGTATGTTTGATGATATCCCACAGGTCTCTTAAGTTCTGTACATTTTTCTTCATTCTTTTCTTTCTGTTCTTTTGACTGGATAATTTCAATTGACCTAGCTTCAAATTAGCTATTTCTACTTTTTGCCTGTTCACATCTGCTATTGAAATCATCTATTAAAATTTTCATTTCAATTATTGTACTTTTTCAGCTACAGAATTTCTATTTGGTTCTTGTTATAATTTCTATCTTTTTCAGTATTCTAATTTTTGTTCATATATCTTTTTACCAATTTCCTTTAGTTCTTTGTTTATAATTTTCTTTAGCTCTTTCAGCATATTTAAGATAGTTGAATTATATAGTCTTTGTTTAGTAAATCCAATATCTATGCTTCTTCTGAGACAATTTCTCTTAATTTCTCTGGTGAATGGGTCATACTTTTTTTCCCCTCACTTGCTTCATAATTTTGTATTGTAAATTAGAAGTTTTGAATATTACAATGTGATAGCTCTGGAATCAGACTCGTCTACCTCCTCATTATTTGTTGTAGTTGCTTGCTGGGGTTGTAGTTTTTGTTTGCTTAGTGAATTTTCTAAACTATTTTTGTAAAGATTGTGTTAATATTATTTGGTACATGTGTTCTCTGAAGTCTCTTTTTCTTCAGCTTATGTTCAGCTACTATTTTGACAGATACTTCTTCATCAATCAGGAGCCAACAAAAGAAAACTTCCATCCTTGTTTGCAGATTGGCTCTGTGTCAAGGCATTCCTTTAATGCTTTAGACAGGCTGTGTATCAATCTGCCTTAACTTTCTGCTTTCACTGAACATAAACATCAGCCATAGGTAAAATGTTAGGATTTTTTCAGAACTTTTCTAAGTATGTGCCATGCCCTGGGTATGCATATGGCTTTTTCTTTTTTTTTTTTTTTTCATTTAGCATTAAGTGATCAGATTCTTTTGTGTGTGTATGGCAAACTTCTTTTTTATTTTTTATTATTTTATTTCACTTATTTATTTCAGATGAATATATGGGTACAAACAATCAGGTTACATTGCTTGCATTTTTTAGGTAAAATCCAAGTTGTAGTTGAGCCCTTCGCCCAGGAGGTATGCCATATACCCCTACTTTGCATTCATTAAGTGAGAACTTACTAACCCTCCTGCCCCTTTACTTCTCCCCCTCCCTGCTTCCCCATCCTCTTACTTGAATTTAGTTGTTTTTTTCTTCTTGTGTGAGCATGTAGTAGGTCGTCTATTAGTTTCATATTAGTATTGAGTACATTGGGTGCCTACTTTTCCATTCCTGTGGTACTTTACTTAGGATATCCTCCAAATGTATCGATGTGACTTTAAATTCCCTGGTATAAGTAGGCATTTTCCAATATCCTTATTCTCCAAAGAAACCCCCTCCTCAGTTTTCCTCCCAGGCTTTTAGCATGTCTATTGTTTGCCTACACTATAATATTTTGCCCTGGATGGCAGTGGATTATTTATTTGCCTTTCAGTGTTTATGAGGAATATCAAGTACACAGCCACTTTTCCACCTGAGAGTGCTGAGTTAGATGCCTTCCATCAGTTTTTTATCTTGCCCAGTTATTTTTTTTTTTTGCAAGCATGATGAGAGCACCTGAAATCTACTCTTAGCAACTTTTCAGTATAAAATATAATATTATAATTATAACCTATGGTGTACATTATGTCTCTAGACTTATTCATTCTGTATATCTGCAACTGTGTACCTTGTGACATTTCCCCGTTCTTCCTCCATCTACCCCTAGTAACCAGTGTTTTATATCCAAGGAATGAAAAAATAAACAAGTATCAAGCCAGAAATGGCCAAATTTCTGGCCCGATATTTTCACCAGAAGTTGGGCAAGATCTCAGTAACACCTCTATGTCCTAAGTGGTGCCCAATGAGAGTCCCCAAGGGATGTTTCTCCTAGGACACAGCAGCCTGTCAACTGCAGCTACCATGAGGTATCTTTCCAATTCTCATCTCCTTTTCTAATTCTAGTTGTCCATTTGGGGGGTGGGCCATTAGAGCTATTCGGATGCCCTGCCTGCCCCAAAGGATATAAATATCCATACCAAGGGTGCTGGCCCAGGATGCTCAAAAAAACCCATCAGTCCTGATTCCAGGCAGAACAGAAAAAATGACCTTCTTATGCCCTCTTGGCTATACCACATCACCTGGGACCCTTTGCTTGTGTCCAAAGTCTCAAAAAGGGTCTTTTGAACATTTTTAAGAGCATACTCACCACCCCTGAGTATATTGGCACAAACCTGGTTTTGGTTTTAGACCTGTAGGGAACCACTCCTACCATCTCATCCCTCCAGTGTTCCTTCTCCCTATCCTCCACCACAAACTTCTTTCTCCTCTCCCTTATACCACAGATATAAGCAGAGGCAAATAGATATTTTAGCTCAACTTTGAAGTATAAATAGCACCTTGCCATGTCGAAAAAGTTGGGAAGGAGATTTTAGACAGAGGGAATGTTAATACAAAGAAAACAGGGAATTCTTGGAAAAATGACAAGTAATTGAGCAATAGAGAACTCTGAGTTTTTATTCAAAACCCTAATACAATGTCTTCTCCTATAAAGTGTTCCCTGACAGCACACGAGTCCATCATTCTCATGATCTGTGCTCTCATAGAGCACATACTCTATCAATTCAACATTTATCCAGTTAGAAATTGTACTCAGTTCTAGAAATACAGAAACAAAAAGGGGAATCTTTGCCCTCAAGATTATGGGGGGAAAAAGAAAACAATCTCGTATTATAGCAAAGAGTGTACAGGAGGCAAGAGTGGCATGAGAACCATGCAGAGGTGAGCCCACCTGAGTCAGTGCCCAACCCACTGCACCCTACCTAACTACTCACTAATCTGCTAGACTCCTCTACCAGACGGTGGACCCAGAGGACTGACTATGTCTTATTCATATCTGTATTCCCAGTTTCCAGCCCAGAAACTTGTACATTAAAGGAAACTAATAAACAGGGTCTGAATGCTATGATTTCTAAGGTTTTACCCATTGAATTAGCATATAACCCAGCAAATAGTAAAATGAATGACTTGTTAAATAAAGTAATAATTATAATCTATAAACCAAGGGACCGTACACAAGTGTTATTAGATGAAGGAAGAATAGTTACAGATGAGTCCTTGGGCCACTAAGAGGAATTGAGCCTTAATGTTCTAGGCAGAGAACCTCCAAGAGAAGGCATAGAGATGTGTCCATCCACTGAATAATCATTGGCTTCCTACTATGTGCCAGGCACTGTTCAAGAATGTTCACAACAGTAAACAAGACAGACAAAATTCCTTGCTTTTATGGAGTTTACATGCTGCAGGAGAGGCAGGAGAATAAACAAAACAAATGTATAAGTTATAAAGTATGCTAGATGTTAAGTACCATAGAGAAAAATAAATCCAAAAGTAGCTATGTGTGCAAGGGTAGGTAGGGGGTGGTAGCGAGGAAAAAGTGGTCATATTCTTCATACCTTTCTGAAAGGGAACATTTGTGTAAAAGACCTTATGGGGTCAAAAGAATAAGCCATGTAGATGCCTGGAAGAAGTGTGTGGTAGGCAGAGGAAAACTTCATTTGCAAAAGTTTTAGCCTATTATAGAAACTAGGTCAAAGAGAGAGAAATGGCCAGATCATTTTGGTACTTATGGGGTAGTACCAATCATTGTAATGATTTTTTTCTTTAAGGAAACACAAAGAGAAAACTGTATAGGTCATAAACGTCAGATCAATAAATTATCATAAATGAATTATTAATGAATTATCATGAATGAATAAGTCTGTATAGCCAAATACAGGTCAAAAGCAAAACGTCATCAGCACCCAGAATCCCTCCTTCACAGCTCTTCTGGGCTCTCCCTCCCTCCTCCTCAAAGGCACTTACTCCCCTGACTTTGAACAGCACAGATTTGTTTAACCTGTTTTTTAACTGTAAATAAGTGAAATTATACCCTTGTTTGGTTTTTGTTTTTTGTTTTTTATTTTTATTTTATCTGGGGTTTTTTGCTCAAGATTTTGCATGTGGCATTTGCCCATGTGATTCCAAGAGAGAAAGGGTGGAGATGACAAATATCAGCGTGTTTACATGCTGATGGAAAGACTAGGACAGCAGAGGAATTGATGATGGCAGTGTTCATCTGCCTGGGACCCATATGACAACCCCAGAAGCAGAGAGGAAGTGCAAGCTCACCCAGGAGCTGAGTATCAGGATCTCAAGAGATGTTTCCTCCCCTGCTCAGCTCTTCTCCTGAGAAATTAGAGATCCCAAGAAGGTTGAGGTAGTGGTGATGGTGATTTACACACTGACCACTCAGACATTCCCACAGACCCCACCAGTGGTGATTGCTGAGATATAAGGATAATTAAGGCGTCTTCAGACAAATAAGTAAATAAGGAAGTACAAAACAGTGTGATAACTGCTAAGAATTTGGGAAAAGATTCTAAGGAAGCACCTTCTTTAAGAATCATCGTGGCTCAGCGCCTGTGGCTCAAGTGGCTAAGGCACCAGTCACATACACCTAAGGTGGCAGGTTTGAATCCAGCCCGGGCCCACCAGAAAAACATCAATGATGGCTGCAACCAAAAAATAGCCAGGCGTTGTGGCAGGCGCCTGTGGTCCCAGCTACTTGGGAGGCTGAGGCAGGAGACTCGCTTGAGCCCAGGAGTTGGAGGTTGCCGTGAACTGTGATGCCACAGCACTCTACCCAGGGGCACAGCTTGAGGCTGTCTCAAAAAAAAAAAAAAAAGAATCATTGTGACCATTTCATTTTTTTTGCTCAAACATTGATGGCTCTGAGAGAGGCACACAAGAATATGGCCATTATATGTTATTATTTTTATATTTATAAGTTTTATCTTTTCTACTACTATGTTATGATCTTTTAGAGCAGAAAATATATCTTCTGGTATCATAAAAGAGCACAAAGTAGTAAGAAGACCTGGCTTTGAGTCTTTTTTTTTACACTGATGTCCAGTGACCTCTGAACTCTTTATTGGTATAAGGACATGCTGCTCTACTGCCTCAGTGTCTCAGAACTTTGGTGTCGTTGGTCTCAGACACCACTTTGCCGTCCACTATCCTGTGGGTTGTGGTCTTATGGATGGTTTGCATGGAGTTGCTGTTGTCTAGGGCATCACCAAGGTTGAAGTCCTCCCCATCTTCCAGCAGACAGCGGTAGGTGGCGATCTCAGCCTCTAGCTTGACCTTGATGTTCAGCAGTGCCTCATACTCCTGGGCCTGGCACTGCCCCTCTACCCGGGTCTGTGCCAGCTCTGACTCCAAATGCAGCAGGACCCCATTGAGTTGCTCCATCTGCATGGCGTAGCGGGCCTCCACCTCCCTCAGGCTGTCCTCCAACCTGGATTTCTGATTTCTCATGGAGTCCAGTTCAATCTCCAAGGACTGGACTGTGCACGTCAGCTCCGTGAGCATTGTCTTAGCAGCTCCAACCTCAGCAAACTGTGAGGTGACCACTGAGGTGCTCTCCTCAGTCTGCTGGGATCAGGTCTTGGCCAGCTCTTCTTGGTTCTTCTGAGGCAGCTCATCATACTGGGCCCACACGTCTGCCATGATCTTGCTCAGGTCCTGGGATGGGAGCATCTACCTCCACAGTCAACCCAGAGCTGGCAATCTGGGCATGTAGGACTTTTACTTCCTCCTCGTGGTTCTTCTTCATGAAGAGCAGCTCCTCGTTGAGAGCCTCGATCTCTGACTCCAGCTGCAGTCGAGTGATATTGGTGTCATCAATGACCTTGCAGAGCCCATGGATGTCACTCTCCACAGACTGGTGCATGGCCAGTTCTGTCTCATACTTGACTCTAAAGTCATCAGCAGCAAGATGGGCATTGTCAATCTGCAGAACAATGCGAGCATTGTCCACAGAATTGGCAAAGATCTGAGCCCTCAGGTCCTCGATGGTCTTGAAGTAATGCACCCAGTCTCTGACCTGGGGCCCCTTCTCCTCCAGGTGTTCCCGGATTTTGCTCTTCAGCCTCCCATTATCAGTCTCCCGGTTCCTCACTCTGTCCAGGTAGGAGGCCAGGCAGTCGGTCAGTTCTTGCATGGTCTCCTTCTCAGTCTGGATGCCCCCTATTCCCGCCAACCCCCCAGCCATCCCCATGGCCAGGCCCCCGGACCCCCAGCCACCTCGGAAGCTGGTGGAGTGGGACATGGAGATCTGGGAGCCCAAGCCCCCAGCGCCTGCATAGACGCTGGCTGCGCTGCTAGCAGGCCAGACACTGTAGCTGGGCGCCTGGACTGAGCCCAGGGACTGGTAATTGCTGGAGAAGGTGGTGGAACGAGTAGTAAAGGACATGATGTCAGAAGAGGAGAGGACAAGACTTGGGTGAGCTGGGTGGCTTTGAGTCTTGACTCTGCTATTCATCAGCTATGTAACCCTGGGAAAATTAGTTAACTTTTCTGGGTCTCAGCTTCTTTGTGTATAAATGGAGGTAATAATATCCATCCTGCCTGCCTCACAGAATTGTCAGCATCATTGAAATCATGTATGAGAAGAAGTGTCTGTGCTACACATCCTTGACGTTAGTCCCTGTTGTCAGTCTTCTAAATTGCACAAGCCTATTGTTTTGGACACACAGTAGGTAATCAGTAAATGTCAAGCTTTAATTATATGTCATAAACAAAGCCTTGCAATTTTTGGAGTCTGTAGTTCTCTGTCCTCCATCACCTAATGCCCTAAGAATTCAGAGGTTGGAGTCACAGTGTATAGTCATGACCCAAGAGGAACCATCAGTGTGGGAGGGTGAACTGATCCAGGAGCATCTGGGTCAAATGTCCATTAACCAAGGGTGCCAGACATTGTGTTAGGGGAGATTGGTGGGAGTGTGATTATTCATTTCAGTCTTTCTCCTAACTTTGTCTTAATCCGTCACATCTCTAGGTATAGGTATCAGAGAGCTCTAATGGACTAGCAGAGTTGGGGGAAAGGGTGCAGGTCTTGGGGGTGTGGTTTTAAGGACAGTTTTAAAGCCTTTATTTCTGTGTTTACAGGGCATGTAGTTTCACAGGAAAGCTCAACCCCATCGATAATGAATGGGGTGCTGGGGGAGTTGGTAACCCTTCCCCTGAAGTTTCCCACGGGAGAGAAGGCCATGTCCATCACCTGGCTTTACAGTGGAACATCTATCGCCTTCATAAGACTAAAGGAAGACCAAAGCTCAGAATCCCACGTGACCGACCCAAAACGAAGAGAGCGGCTGAGCTTCACTGGGTGCTGCTCCTTGCAGCTCAGCAACCTGATGATGGCAGACACAGGATCTTACAGAGCCCAGATAGCCACAGAGACCTCTACAAAGTTTTTTAATTATACTTTGAGGATCTTTGGTGAGTCTGAATGTGGAATTTAATTATATATGGACTAAAAGGTTATGCATTTCAATTCTATGTGACCACCCATGTACACTGTGGCCTAGTGGTAAACAGCATAGCATTTGGCATCAGAATGCAGTCCAGCAGCATAGGCACTCAATAGCACAGCACAGCCAGGTAGGGGCAGAGCTGACAATGAACCTAAGTCTTTTGACTCTTGTGGCAGAATCACCTCACTCCCCTCAACCAATCAAATGTTCCCTTTCATCAAGAAATGTAGCAAAACAAATGAAGTGAACTATTCATGATATGGTGGCCATGTGTATTACTTGTAGCTGCCACGTAATCTCACAAAGCCTCCATGGGACAGACACAATCTTTATCCATGAGGCATCTAGCCTCAGTTACAGTAACTTGCCTACAGGCCCAGAGGGAGTGGGTGGCAGCATCTCCCACAGAACCACCCTGGCAACAAAGGCTAGCGTGACCTGATACAGTGGTCTATGTAGAGGACAGTGTGTCTACCTGCAAAGTGCTCTGTAAGGATGAGCTGATAAAGAGAAATGTCTTTTTTGTCAAGGTTATTTAATTTCTAACAATATTTTCCCCCAGACAGCTCATGTACATGACTAGTCAAAACTCTCCCTCTCCAGGATTAATGAATGAATGAAAACATCCATAACATAAAATTATGAAAAGTGTAATGAGGTAGCTTATGCATTAATACCAGAAAAAAATCTTTCTAGCAATCAATGATGTTCAGAGATGCTGTGACTAGCTTTGGGGTAATCGCGTAGCAGCAATGTTCAACAGGAGACTCAACCATTAAATCGGCAATCAGACTAGACAATGTTAAAGCAGCTGAGATTCTTTAATTCTTGTCTACTAGGGAGCTCAGGGTGTCTAAAATTCACCCCAAGTTCTTTGGGTTAAGACATGGTACCCAAAAAAATCACTGTTAAAATGAAATGTCTCCACAAACAGGTTACATGTTAACCTTTAGTATGTCCTGAGTATTGAACAGGTTGACCGTGTTAGATTAGTCAAAGTCATATCCTTGAAAGAATAAGACACAGAACAGAGATTCTGACAACAAGGGCAAAATGGCCTTGGAGCAGTGTATTAGTTTCCTGAGCCTGCAGAAACAATATACCACAAACTGAGTGGTATCAAACAACAGAAACTTATTCTGTCACAGTTTGTGCCCGAAATCCAAAATCAAGGTGTGGGCAGGGTATGCTCCCCTGGAGGCCCAGGGCACAGTCTGTTCTCTGCCGCTCCCAGCTTCTGGCTGCTGTCAGCATGCCTTGGTGGTCCTTAGCTTGTGGCCACATGGCTCCAGGCTCTGCCCTCAAGGTCACACTGCCTCCTCCTTTTCTTTTTGTTTTCGCCTCTTCTGTCTGTCTCAAATATCCCTTGGCTTTTCTCCTATAAGAGTACTTATCAGTGGATTTAGGGTGCATCAAATAATCCTGGATGAGCTCTCTAATTTAATTCCTTCTGCAAAGACCCCTTTCCCCAAATAAACTAATATTTAGATTCTGTGAATTAGGACATGGACATATCTTTTGTGGGGTCACCCTGAGTGACCAGTCATCATTGAGGCAGTGCTAGGACACTAGACAGAGAAGAGAGACGTGTCCAGTGGAATCCCAAGAACAGACCCCACACCAGGCTCCATCACATTAGCTGAGACACTGTTCTGGCACTGTTGGGAAGTATGACTTCTCCCGCAATAGCCACACTCCTGAGGTGGTTTTTCAGGGCTTTTTAGCGTACCTCTTCTCCAAGGCACATACGCAGCTGTGTAAACTATACCAACTTGTTTTACACTGGTACAAGGGAATTTCAAGGTATGCACTATAGAGGTTTTTTAAACCCCCCCCCCAAAAAAAACGTTGATCAATCTCTCAATATGTTCCAGGAAAGGAATGGCTAAGATTTGATTTGATGGGCCAATACCAATTAATTGGAAGTGACTGCGTAGAGTTCAGTGTTAAGAAAGATGTTGACACCATGTTATATTTATTCATAGAGTCTTTTGAGGGTACAATATACTGTCCTGGGCACTTGGAATAAATACTTCAGTGAGCAAAACAAGGATCCCTGCCCTGGTGGAACCAACATTCTAGATGGGAAGTGAGGCAGGTGATAAACTATACATATAATATATAAACAAGTGATGCACAGTACATAAGGAAGCTATGAGTGCTATGGGAAAAGGAGAGATCAGAAGAAGGAGCGTCAGGAGTGCCAGAGAGCTAAGTCAGTTTTAAAGGGAGTGCTCAGAATAGCCCTCGCTGAAAAGGTAACATTTGCACCAAGACCTGTTAGAAGTGAAGGAGTAAGCCAGGCAGATATCTGGAGCAAGAGCCATCCAGCACAGGTGGAAAGTCCCCTCATGCATGACATGCTCAAGGAACATCAAAGAGGCCAAACATCCAGGAGCAGACCGAGGGGATGAGGCCAGAAAAGAGAAAAGGGGGCACATCATGTGAGGCCCTAAGAGCCATCACAGGCTTCTATGCTCAGTGAGATTGAGAGCCGTCAGAGGGTTTTGCAAAAGTAATGAGATTGGACTTACTCGTTCACAGGATCCCTTTGGCTTCTCTGTTGAGAACAGAATTTAAGGGATAAAGGTGGAAACCAATAGAATGATTAGGAAGCCATTACAACAACCCAAGCAAGCCCAGATGCTGGCTTGGATCAGGGTACGTGTAGCAGTGGAAGTGGTGAGAAGAGGTTGGATCCTGAGCACATGTTGACAGTAAAACCACCAGGATTTCCCTATGTGGAAATGTGAGATGAAGATACGAGTCAAGGATGAGTCTGGGAGTTTTGGCTTCAGTAACTGGGAGAATGCAGTTGTCATCAACTAAGGTGGGGAAGGCCACAGGTTGAGTAGGTTCTTGAGAGACAAATAGGAGTCCAGGTCTTCTTAACTCCAAATCCAGCTCTCTTCCCATCCATGAGAACTCTGTTCTGGCAAGATATGAATACACATATTCCACAACTCCTACTCGGTTCTGAACTTATAGCATTACTCTGCCCCATCTAATCAGAGAGTGAGAGTCATTCTGTTCTTTGTTGGGTCACCTTTACTTCAACTTCAAGCGAAGAGTAGCTCAGTGGCCTTTTCTATTTGTTCTCATGTTTCCAGGAGAGCTACTGACATCCTACTAGGAGAGATTTCCTGGTTTTCACTCTCAGAAATATTTGTGGCACATGTCACCTCAAACACCCAAACATATTGCCCTTCTTTGGTCCCCAGAATCTCCCACATGCTCTGTCAGTTTCTTCACTTCTTCCTTCCCTAACTCTGTGGTTCTCCATGTGTCTCTTTCTGTCTTGCTGAACTTCTGTGTCCAGGTCACTTTCTCGTCACTGGAGCCAGCATCAGATACAGTGAGAAGCAGGATCCCCACAGATTTGTGGGAAATATGATTCCCCAAGGAAGTGATACTTCCATCTGCCATCCTAGTTAGGGAATTCAGATGACAAAAGAAATAGGGCAGTTATGCCTGGTCTCCTGTTTTCTGACCTGGCTGAGGTGGCCATCAGAGTGCTCAACTTGGTCTCCAAATTGTCTTCACACAGGGGCAGCATGCAAAGGCTGGAAGGGACCCCAGGGGTAAACTGGGGCCTGCAAATGTAAAGTGACCAGCCCAGAATTACCCAACTAATTGATGGCAACTCAATTCTTTCCCCTCCTACTCCTCCCACTGCCACCCCTGTCCCAAACTAATGTCACCATCATTTGGCTGTCCCACACTCTGCTACAGTCAAGTGGGCAATACAAGCTGAGTCATTTGCAGAGTATACAAGCCATAACACACAACGAAAGTAGAATACAAAATGTTGAGATGAATATTTTTCACAGGAGGCTGAGCCAAGCCATTTGCTCTTAATTTGGGTCTTTTTTCTTCACACAGAAAAACTGAGGAACATACAAGTTACCAATCACATTCAACTGACTGAGAATAAGACCTGTGAAATCCACCTGGCCTGCTTTGTGGAGAACTCAAGTGACACTGTCGCATTCACGTGGCAGACCTCAGGAAACATACATCAACATAGTCCAAACTTCACTATCTCCTGGGACCCCAGAAATTCCAGTGAGGACAACTATACCTGCATAGCCGAGAACCCCGTCAGCAATTTATCCCTCTCTGTCTCTGCCCAGGCGCTCTGCAAAGGTAGCAGTCTGCCTCAGATCTTGCTAAGAGCCTTCTGCACCTTTCTGGGGTGTAGCATGTCCCCACATCCTATGTGGTTCCCAATACAGTGGCCCAGTGGGAGGCAGCTGAACAGTGCTGGGAGGGGATGGGCTCTCATGGCTCCCAAAGGTCTCTCCTTCCTTCCTCCCTCCCCTGCCTCCCCCACCCCCTCCTCCCGCCCTCTCAGAGCCCACGAGCAAAGGCCTCAGGAAAGCAGGCTTGCTTCATCCCCAAATCCACCGGGCTCCACCCTGCCCTGCCTGCCACATGGGACACCCACTCCCTCAAACCTGCTCAGACCCCCAGAGCCCCTGGGAGTGGACAAACCTACACAGCCCCTAAAGGCAGCTGAGAAGAGGCTGCGTGGGGGCCTCACTCTATGTGTCTCAAGTGCCACTTCTTTTCTCTCTTTTCAGGCATTAAGAAAAATCCAGACTCGGATAGCATATGGATTATTGGGACTACTGTATTTGCAGTCATCCTTATCTCTGCAGTACTGTTATGCTGTATTGTTTGGAGAAGAATAGGCAGGTTTTCTTTCTTGATACTTGTCTGTTCTCCAAGGTACCAGGGATTTAGAGTGTGGGACCTGTGATTCCCAAGGATCTCTGGTGGAGGACAGGTAAAGGGAGGAAGGATGCAAACCCTGGCTCAACTAATCCACTGAGATGACCCCTGATGTGACCACACACCTACTAATATCCTGAAGGAGAAGACCTCCAGCCTCAGGGCTGCCTTCCCTTCCTTTGGGGTCCTCTCCCACCATATCCTCTAGAGAGAGGCCCATGGGGTGGTGGGCAGAAGGTCTCTCTCACTGTAGCCACACAGTTCAGTGTTCTGATTTTATCTTTCAGATTCCCATCACTTCTCTCCCCAGCAAGCCCAGGGTCCTGGTAAGCATCCAGATTCTTTTTTTTTTTTTTTTTTTGAGACGGAGCCTCAAGCTATCCCCCTGGGTAGAGTGCTATGGCATCACAGCTCACAGCAACCTCCAACTCCTGGGCTCAAGCGAGTCTCCTGCCGCAGCCTCCCAAGTAGCTGGGACCACAGGCGCCCGCCACAACGCCTGGCCATTTTTTGGTTGCAGCCATCATTGTTGTTTGGCGGGCCCAGGCTGGGGATTCGAACCTGCCACCTTAGGTGTATGTGGCTGGCGCCTTAGCCGCTTGAGCCACAGGCGCTGAGCCAGCATCCAGATTCTTAACTCGCAGTCATAGAACAGATGGGAAGGGCCCAACAGAAGTGGAAAGGGGGTGACAAAGGGCTGGAGAGAGAAGAGAGTCAGAATGTCAGTACCCAGACAGACCCCAGGGTGCAAGGGGAGTTGATCTGTAACCATGGGACCCAGAGCATATGAGCTGTCACTCACACAGTTTCTACTGGTGAGATCAGGGTCACTGTCCACCCTACTGATGAATAAACTAAGTGCCAGCAAAAGGGCTTCTCCACTGCTACCCGGCAAATACAGAGCACAGAGAGGACTACAGCAGCAAAAGCACAAAACCTTTTCCCATAAAAAAAAGTCATACCTATTTGGTTTGCACAGAGACTAAGAGATTCCCTACTGTCCAGCCTGGGTGTGGGCAGTGGATAGATGCAGTCAGAAGGGATGATTCTGGTCTCAGAGTGGCTGAGTCTCATTTCACAGATGAATGATGCATGACATTATTTATATGGGAAAGGGCATGGGATCTGAAGTCAGAAGGCATCCATTCAAGTTCCCATCTTGTCACCTTCCATGTGACTTTGCACAAATCAGTTGAACTTTCTGAGCTTCTAATTCCTCATCTCTAAAATAAAATCTAATCCGCTTAAGGACCTCTGAAATGTTGAATTCAATATCCCGTACATAAAATGACTGGCTCCATTCTGTTCACCAGTGAGGTGTCCCTAGTTCTGTGGGTAGTGCAGAAGCTTCCTGATGCACATGAGGGGCCTAAGGGAGACTCTGAAGCTTTAGGGTACCTCAAGATCACCCTCAACCCCAAGAGATGAGGTCAGAAATAGACAACATGGCTGAGAAGGTTCTGGTCAACCCAGAATAAACCCTATGGAAGGCCAATGCTTCAGACAACAGCCTACTTGGGGACAGAATGTGCTCCAGGAAAGGCAAAGTTCCTAGGAGAGCAGCCCCAGGCTCTTCTGCCCCTGACTGTGCCTTCCTGTGTCAACAGCACCACCCCCAAGGAACACAGAGAATGCGTCGGTCTCCCCAGGGAGCAGTACTGTGTATGCTTCGGTCACTCATCCCAACAGCAACAGGGTGAGTCCTTTCAGCTTCATAATCCATCACTGTCAGTCACAGCCATTACTCATAGATTCGTCACCACTATCATCTGACTGATCAAATGACATACACCACGGAGGGAAGGAGAGGGCAGCCACATCAGCTTAAAGCTATAAGCAAGACCATTTCAGAGTCTGCTGTCGTTTGCTGCTCTCACCTGAGGGGACGTTTACTGATGCCCTGCTTGATGCTGTTGTCTAACTGCTTAATGCACCAGTAAGTCTCTCCAGCTTAGTTACAAGCTCCCTGGAAGTGCAAATCATGTCTTCCTCTCTCTTCCCCTATACCCTAACAAGACACTCAGTAAATAGTTGCCAAATGGATCAACATTTCCTTAAGTTTGAAAGCTTCCTAAGGAGACAGCTCCACAGCAGGGGATTGGCTCCTCACTCTGGATGCAGGGGGGTAGGGGTGTCAAAGGACCTCAAAAAGGGTGAAGGAGGCAAGAACTTGAGACTCCTCCCCTCTAGCAACATAACAGGATGGACTTGGTCACGCACCAGGAACTCCTCTGTCACACATCGGCAACTGCCCATCCCCTAAATAAACCACCTGCAGGTGGCATGGTTCTAAATAATACTATACCTTCTGAGAGGCCAATTTTCATGTCTTGTGGAAAAATAAGCCAAGAAAACTCAGCATTCTCCAAAGAATGGAAGCAATGGTCCAAGTACACATCTTGGATTCCCCAAGCAAATCTCCCCTCACACAGCCCCTCATGGGTATCTATGAGTAGCCTCCTTGAAAGCCCTCTTGAATTTGCTGAAACAAATTTAAATTCAAATCAAGGCTGAATTAAACAAACCAAGAAATTAATCTTCTACAAATTTGGAATGTTTCTGAGGTCCTGATAATGCTTTAGATATTCTTTAATTAATTTAAAGTATCAAAAAATTTGAGGCTCGGCGCCTGTGGCTCAAGTGGCTAAGGCACCAGCCACATACACCTAAGGTGGTGGGTTTGAATCCAACCTGGGCCCGCCAAAACAACAATGACAGCTGCAACCAAAAAATAGTCGGGCATTGTGGCAGGCGCCTGTGGTCCCAGCTACTTGGGAGGCTGAGGCAGGAGACTCGCTTGAGCCCAGGAGTTGGAGGTTGCTGTGAGCTGTGATGCCACAGCATTTTACCCAGGGGGATAGCTTGAGGCTCTGTTTCAAAAAAAAAAAAAAAATTTGAGCAGCTAATTGGAGGGGCATGGGGAGTTCTGCTGTTAGCACTGTGCATATGGGGAGAGCCATGCTTAAGGTTGGTGTTCATACTTTACCAGTCCCCATGCTTGAGGAGGCCCCCATAACACAGTGACCAAGCAGTTAGAATTATAGTGAAAAATTCTAACCAGAGGAGGCAAAATGGTAGTTCCAAGTGTAGCTAGTAATAATCTAGACAAAAGATATGATAGCCATTTGCTACATAAGTTAGTTCTTTAAAGTGGAGGAAGGAAAGTAGAGTTGGATGCAGGACAAGAACTATGCCTTTCCCTACCTTTCTGCCTCTCTCTGGTTATTGAGCCCACTGGTTTCCTGGAATCTGGGGTTCAGAAAATGCCACTAAACTTCCCAGGTCTGAAGGCTGGTGATGCTTGGTGTCCTGCTAAACATACCTGGTCCTTCTTACTGAAGAACTTTGACATACTGCCTGTCCTATCCATCTAAATGTGTATGAATCTCTTAGTCTGTATCAACCAAATGAATATGATTCTTTTTACAGGAAATGGAAAGCCCAACACCTATGGAAAACAATGATTCTGTCACAATTTACTCTACAATCAATCATTCCAGAGAGGTGAGTCCCCTGATTGCCCTATGTTCTTATGTTCTTACCTTCCTCTTCAGATTTATAATTTTACAAATAAAACAAAAGTAAAAGGGTCATTTTGCACATGCACAAATAACAGCAGGATACAGAAAGTCTCAGGACATCACCAAAATGTAACCAGGAAGCTATCTTATATTAGGATCATTGCCCATAACTGATATTTCAACCTACTTGTTTTCTAATTTAATCCTGCCTTATGCTATCAGTGTTCCTACTAGCTTCCTGGGGATGGTCTCCAGTCCTCTTTCTATGCCATGAGGACTATTTACTGACTTCAGTTTCCTCTTTTACCCATAGAGTAAACCCACTTCTCCTAGGGCAACTGCCCTTGACAACGTCGTGTAAGTTGCTGAAAGGCCTCAGTGGAATCGGGGAAAAACACATCATATGCTGATCCCATGGAGAGGATAAAAAGCAAGAAGCTTGGGTTTAATCCTGGCAACAGAATCTGAATATCAAGGATTATTACTTCCACTCCTCCAGACTTGAACCTGCTTATTAAAGTCAGATACCATCTGATACCAAAGGATAACATCATTTCCATCATGTTATCTAAATAATATTTTCTAGGGGTTGGGGTTGCAGGAACACTAAGACTACAGCATGGACCTTCACTGACCATGCTGTCCTGAGATCCACCTCTCTGAAGAACTCAACCCTCCTAGGTCCAGGGGTATTATAGGCAACAGGGATCTTTCACACAGGACAACCACGTCTTGCCCCCCACCACCTATTCCTGAATATGGAAGAAAAGTTTGTTTGGGGCAAAATGAAGGCATTCTTCCAGTTTCTTTATCCTAAAACTGGTGTAACAGGACTCTGTGTGCACAGAACTGGGCTTATTTTGTATTCTCTATCCAAGAAATATGTGTGATTACCCCAGAGACCTTCTCTACCCTATCAGTAGTAGGGTTACTTGTCAATATAATTTTCAACTATGGTGATGGTGCCTCTTTTGGAGAATTTGCTGATAAACTCAATAAGCAAAAAACTTCCCAGCTAGAAGAGATGAAGCAAGTGTCCATCAACAAATCCAGAATGCAATTGATATGGAGAAGTCAGAACAGGCACTGATTCAGAATTAGCATTACCTTTTTGATGTCCAGAGGAATAACATTGCTATAGCTTTGGAGGTTACTCACTGGAATGGCTACATCGAGTACACAAGGAGGTAAAGAATCACCTGGACTCTCATATCTCTGTGCAAAATATGATGCATCAAAACGAATGATAAACTTTCTGTCGCTTTCTGGTTATTGAGCCCACTGATGGAGAAGCACGTGGCGCAGAGCATTTCTGTAGAGCAGGAAAAGGAGACAGTTGCCAATTGCACTGCAGATCTAAAGCTGCTCACAAAGAAGGCTAAAGCACAGCCAGCTCTGTAAATGTGTCTTTCCCAATTGAGACAACTAGGAACAGTTAATTAAAGGAAACTAGTCAGTGTGACGAAATCCTTCCATATTTCTGTCTATACTGAAGTTAGTTTACCTTCCCCCAAAATGAAAAGTTTGAGTTTTATATAGTGAAAGAACTAAATCTATTGGCCAGTGAGATGTTTCTCATCCTTCTTATTCTGCATTTTGAGTTGTTACTTGATCACTTTTGAATAAGAGGTTTGTTTTTGTTAAAATGTGCTGCCTAGCTAAAGATTTCCAAGTTATGATTTAAATTTGTAATTAATTCCACCATCTTGCCACAAAATGACAATTGGCACAAGAAAAAAATAAATAAATAAATAATATTTTCCAGCCCACAGTGGACCAAAACATGCTTCAGACACGCAAATGAGTGTGACTTTCTCCTTGGTAACTAAACAAATAGAATTATGGTTGACAGAGAGATTACGGATTTCAGATTTTGGGATTTAATATGCTCAATTTGTGCAACATTTACAGACATACCTCCTGGGATATGTTACCTAACCTCTTGGAGCTTCAGTCTCCTAAACAGAAAAAGGAGGAAGATGGTAATGTATTAGCTCCATCACTCAAGCCAAAACTCAAAATCATCCCTGACTCTCTATCATCAGGTGCTTTGAACTCTACCTCAAAAATATGGACATATCCACTTCTCTCCAAGCCCTGGACTTCCACCCTGTATCCAACCATCACCACCCCTAACCAGGAATCTGACTATAACCTTGGAATAGCTCTCCCACTTTTGCTCTTGTCCCCCTTCCACCCATTCTGCAAAGATAGCCAAAGTAATGCATTTAAGATAAGCAGATCTTCCATTTGCCTGCTTATAACCCTGCAGGCTTCCCATTGAACTCAGATTGAAAACCAGTCTGCATGACCCTGGATAGCCTGGCCCATCTCCGGCCTCAGCTAGCATCAGTTTCCCCACACGCTCTCTATTTGGCCTCTCTGATCTTTAGCAGCCCCTCCATGAGAGAAAAAGTTTCTTTACATTACTAGAGTTTTTCTTGTTTACTTTTTTTTTTGTTTGTTTTTTTTTTGCAGTTTTTGGCCAGGGCTGGGTTTGAGCCCATCACCTCCAGCATATGGAGCCGGTGCCCTACTCCTTTGAGCCACAGGCACCACCCTTTTTTACCTTTTTTTTTATTAAGTCATATACACATAGATGATGAATACAATTATGCATATGTGAGGTACAATGTGTTGACTTTTTTTTTAATACAATCTGACTACTAGAGTTCTTTCCATCTGCCTGAAGGCCCTCCTCAGCTTGCTGGGTTCCTCCTTGTTCTTTAGTTTTAACTTAAACATATCACCTCTTAAGAGAGACTTCCCCAGCTACTTTATTTAAAATGGATCCTCTTATTATTCTATTACATCTTCCATGCTGTTTATCACGTGATGAAATATTTATTTTTTTTATGTCTATTTCCCCCCACTACACCATATGCTACTCAGGAGCTGAAATGATGACTGTTTTATTACTGCAACTCTAGCACCTAGTACAATATCTAGCATGTTGCAAAGTTTCAATAAATATTTTTAAATAAATAAATATGTAATGGGGTTTCATGAAAATGATTAAGATGATAAACCTGAAGCTCTCAGCAGTTCCCATGACATAAAAAAGCTCAATACTGTCAGCCATCATTGTTGGGATTACTACCAATAAAATTAGTATAAGTTAATAAATAATAACTTATTATTTTTAAATTACATCCCCCTGAACTCACAGAATTTTCTCACAAACCTTCCACACAACAAGACATGTGACACAGACTAGCTCTTAAGACCCCAACATTCAAAGGGAGAGGGACTTTGGAGCAGAAAGAGAGGCGTGGAGTAAGGAGAAACTGAAATAATGGCTGCAAACAATATGAAAGGAAAACAATATTTACCAGAGTTAAATTAATCTCAGAAGCTGGCTGTTAACTGCATTATCAGTCAGTGGAATGGGACAAGACAGAGAAAGCTGAATCAGGAAGAAGGAAGGGCTTCCAAGGAATAGCCTCTAACTACTTTCATTCCTTGTTCACAGATGAATAAAGCCATTATTAACACTCTATGCACCCTGTAGGCACATTCTTAGCTCTCAGCTCTGGTGGGCCATTATCCAAGCAAAAGGATTCCCTACCCCATCCAATTTCTCCAACCTGTGATAAGAAGAAATCATGAATCATGCAGCACACCTGTCCATGCAATTTCTCTTTGTGTCTTTGTCCCATTCAGTGATATTTTACTCCTGCATCTATTCCAAACTTTGCCCGCAATTCATGGATTCTCTGTCATCCCATCCAGTCACCTATCTAGTCGTTCCTAACCCGTGGATTGCTCATTGGATTGCTCATTAGGAACACATGGGGATTTTACAACTACCAAGGGCATATCCACTCTCCAGAGATACTAATTGAACTGGTCTAGGCTAGGCCTCAGGCAACAGTATTTTTACCCAGGTGATTCCAGGGTATTTAATAAGAGAGAAACTCATTTTGCATGTATATCACATGGGGTAGTCTTCAAGAGGAAATTATTCTTCTCAGTGAGGTTCTGGTGTTTGTTCTCAGTTACCTTATGGGAAAACGGAGGGCATCCTACAGATCTGAGAAACTGAACTGGAATTGAAATATCTCAATCTTCCCCCACTCACATTTATAGGCCATTGTCCATTCATCTACCTCCTGCAAATCAGCAAACAATCCAAGTCCAGCAAATGCTGAGGAAAAGGGTCAGGGACACCAGGATGGAAGTGTCGAGATAAGGAGAGGCGAGTGATGAATTAAGAAATCAGAGAAGTATCCCTCTGTGTAGCTCTTTTTTAGAAACTGGCTCTCATTCTGTCACCCAGGATGCAGTGCAGTGGTGTCATGACAGTTCATTGTAACCTCAAACTCCTGGGCTCAAGTGATCTTCCCACCTTGGCCTCTCAAAGTTTTGGGATTACAGGTGTGAGCCACTGCACCTAATCCCTTGGCACACTTCACTAAGTCCTAAACTGGCAGTCACAAACGTGGCCCCCATGGTGCTTTTTTTTTGAAGACAGAGTCTCACTTGGTCACCCTAGGTAGAGTGTGATGGCCTCACAGCTTACAGCAATCTCAAACTCTTGGGCATAAGTGATTCTCTTGCCACAGCCTCCCAAGTAGGTGGGACTACAGGCGCCCACCACAACACCCACCTATTTTTTAGAGATGGGGTCTTGCTCTGGCTCAGGCTGATCTCAAACCTGTGAGTTCAGACAAACCACCCTCCTCGGCCTCCCCAGTGCTTGGACTACTGGTTTATTTTATTTTTAATTACTAACCTGAAAAATTGGAAAAATTCACCTGGAGATCCTAATATCCTGTACACTGCTACCACGTTCCTAAAAGACAACAATTAGCTGGTGTGGAGCAGCATTTGGCCTATTCTAAATGGGGCTTGCACTCCTGATTTCACCCCTGGCCTGCTCTGCCCACTTCACTTACTCATGATGCCTGCCTGGCCCCCAAAATATTTACATTTCCAGCCTCTGACCTACGCCATGAAGCTTTCCCTCAACTCTTGCCAGTCAGAGGAGCATATTAGCTAGCCCTGATATAACATCTGATCTCCCTCATCCACACCCCATCCCGCCCTCAAACCAACACCTGGACCCTGTGTGGACCCTGGAACTTTTAGTGAAGAACCAACTTGCCTCCCTCAGGTCCACATATAAGCTGATATGAGGAAGGCAGACACTGCTGGATGCAGAGTAGAGAGAAGATAACCCTTTTCCAAGGTCACTGGACAGATGTTTCCCCCTGGATTTCAAGGTGATGAAAACATTGAGCTGAGAAGCAACTTCTCAAAAGGAGAGAGAGCAAGTCTTACCTCCCCAACTTTCCCCTCCCAAGAGATAGCCCCTGTAGGAAGAAAGAAGGGGGACATCATCACTGACCTCTTACCACGTGACCTCTGGCCATGTCCAGAGCTTTCCCTTCCTCACACCTAGCTTCACCATTCTCCCACGGCTGCACTCTTTCTGGGGTTTTTTCCCCCCGTTCTGTATCATTTTATTTATAGGTTTACACAACTTGTACCATCAGATAGTTCAACTTGGATCCTATGTCTCTACTTCTAAAAATATTTTTAGCTATTTTCTTACACAGGCCAACTTTATAATCATTTTATCAAGTA